AATTTGAACGATTTTTCCTCTAATTAGACGAAACGTGTGCAAATCATTTCAGAACACTTCTATTCGCACTTGTATGTAAATCATTTTTCTAAGATAAATAGCCCTAATAAATTGTTGAACCCAGTTTCTTTCGGGCAAGTTGAAAGAGCTGCATGAATATGTAGAGGATGATTATGATGGAAATTATATTCAGTGGGAATTTTCATGCAACTTTTTCTTCAATTTCGTATTTCACGTTATTACCGAGTTGGTAACTTTTGCAAAATTATTTCGACATGTCTTTGTGAATATATATCGTACACTTTTAAAATTTTATTAGCAAAGACATGGAAAAATAAAAATATATATTAATAAATTCAGAAAACATAGAATGCGCACAATAGATGAAAATATATAAAATGTCCAAAATGGAATATCTGTTGAAATATTTAACATGTGAAAAACAAATCTCTGTCTAATTTATTTTTACAATGTACTAATCGTGTCTCACAGTTTCTAATAAATTTTTATAATAAATTGTTGTTAAATTTCTACAATGAATGTTTAAATACTTTTGTGAATAACTGTATATTATTACTACATATCAATCAAAGTATTATACTTGGAAATACGCAAGACAGAGAGAATTTCAAAATAGACAAATACAGAGAATGCACAGCATGAGTATTTATAACAATAACTAGTAGCGGAAAGAAATTTTTGCGTTCTTTCGGTCTTTTGTCGTTTTCAAAATTAAAAAAATATGAAATATGAAAATATTCTCGTTGGTACTCATGAAATTTCGTGTTAAACACCTTTTTAAAATATCGCAAATCCTTCTCGTTTGCTAAACTGAGCGTCAAAACATCAAAGTCCAAGGATCGCAGCGGGATTAAATTCCGTTTTTTTTTCAATTTATACTTTCACTAAAATATAAATTTTGTATATGATGTAATATACGTTTGCTAAAATGAAAATTTTACTAAAATACAAACCTATTGTTTATATTATAAAATATATAATGTGCATTGTATAAATAATTACTATTGTATAATAATAATATAATAAATATTGTATAAATTATAAAGTATAAAATATAATTTTACTAAAATTTTTATACTTTTATAAAGCATATTTTATCCAGTATTTGTAAAATAAATTTTACGTTCGTAATATTTGCAAAATATTATGTTTAAAAATATGAAAATACTTTTAAACTGGACTTTTATTTATATTTTTAAATATTTTTATTTATATATATATTTATTTTTATTAATATATTATTTATATGTATACTTAATAAAAATATTTATATAAATAATAAAACATTATTTATATAAATATTTTTATCTATATATATTTATTTTTATTAATATATTATTTATATAAATACTTAATAAAAATATTTATATAAATACTTAATAAAAATATTTACATAAATAATAAAATATTATTTATATAAATATTTTATCTATATATTATATATATATTATCTATATATATTTATATAAATATTTTATCTATATATATTATATTTACAAAAATATAAAATCATATAAAATCGTTCAAGCTACTCTGCTTCCGTCCCAAATTTCTCAGAGCTTCATTCTCCAATCGTCGTCCGTATTTCGCGCGGACAATTAGCAGTTACCATTATTTCGCGTTCAAATCAACGGCAGAGGAGTACAAACACACGCTTGAACAAACAACCTGTGTACGTACATAACGCAACGTAACGCAACGTAACTGTAAAGCAACGCGTTTTACGTGTGAAAGTTCTTCTTCTTGCCAGCGTCGTCGTCCCGCCGGTGGTATCGCGAGGAACAGCTGAAATACCACTGTGTATTCTGTTGACCGATTCATATTCCTCTAGCTCGTAACAATTGTACCATTTAGCGGAGCTAGGTCTGTGATCGCGTGCTCGCTGGCAATTCTATCCGCCAGGCGAGCGAGATCCTTCAGCTCGTGATGCTCGCGCGCCGAGGAATTCTTTTCCGGTCAGAAATTTACCGTACTCGGTTTCGTCTACCGTGAACTATCCATCATCGTGGAACAAACGTCGTCGTTCGACGATACGACTTCACCGAGAATTTTACACGAACACGTAAATATGAGAAATTCACGCGTGGATTATGTTGAGAGCGTTAAATAAATTGGAGACTGTTAATTGGTTAATTAGTAGCCACAGAAGTAGTGCAGAGTTTTCGTGGTCGATGGTAAAATCATCGGAGGAAAGTTATCTGATGGATCTTTTATTTTATTATCAAACAAGTTCAAACGTCGGTGTTTTGTCAGAAATTTACAGACATTGGCTAAAATTTTATGTTTAACAGATCGTTTAAACTGTTGCTCTTTTTTTTTTTTTTCTTTACTCTATTTTATTACAGTAAATTTCAAGTTGTGTTTTATCATTGAATATAGAGGAGATTAAATATTCAGTAATTATATTTTATTAATTTTGATATTTTAAATTTGTAGTTATTATTTTGTATTTTAATATTTTAAATTTATACTTATTATTTTGCATTTTAATATTTTAAATTTATACTTATTATTTTGCATTTTAATATTTTAAATTTATACTTATTATTTTGTATTTTAATATTTTAAATTTATACTTATTATTTTGTATTTTATTATTTTAAATTTATACTTATTATTTTGTATTTTAATATTTTAAATTTCTATTTATCATTTTGTATTTTAATATTTTAAATTTCTATTTATTATTTTATATTTTAAATTTATATTTATTATTTTGTATTTTAATATTTTAAATTTATACTTATTATTTTGTATTTTAATATTTTAAATTTATACTTATTATTTTGCATTTTAATATTTTAAATTTATATTTATTATTTTATATTTCAATATTTTAAATTTATACTTATTATTTTGTATTTTAATATTTTAAATTTATACTTATTATTATTTTGTATTTTAATATTTTAAATTTATACTTATTATTTTGCATTTTAATATTTTAAATTTCTATTTATCATTTTGTATTTTAATATTTTAAATTTCTATTTATTATTTTATATTTTAAATTTATACTTATTATTTTGTATTTTAATATTTTAAATTTATACTTATTATTTATTATTTTATATTTTAAATTTATACTTGTTACACTTTAAACCTATAAATATTGACCGATGAGCTTCACTAGACTGCATTTAAACATTAATAAACAGTAACATTTCAAATCAACGTTCAGTCTATTTTGTTGTGAAATATAATTATGTTATAAAAATATAATTTAACTTAAAATTTCAATTTTACACGTGAATTACTAAATTCTTTAAAAAAAGAATTCGAACAAAAATACGAACCACTAGAATATTAATTAGAATGCCGCGTGTCACTTTTTAATTGACAATTCCTAAACCGCAGGACTATAGAATTCTTATTATAAACTATAGAGTCTTAACTGCAGAGTCTTAACTGTACTTGATTTACAGACATTCTGCGTCGTATTTTTCTTGGCCAACAAACGTAACAGGGACGATTTACGATGCGTTTCAAGTAACAACGATGCCAAGTTTATTGTCCTATCACGCACACGAACGATATTGAAAAACGAAAGGACACGTCCCGTTGCGTTTTATTAAGTAATCGCGCGCGATCGTTGATTCGCTTGAACTCTGAAAGATTCGTAAATTTAATTGATGAATTTGACTTTTAATTCCATTAACAATTGGCACAATTCAAACACCGATCAATCTAAATCACTTCTTATCAAAGTAGCTAATTACCACATCTCTATTTACATATATAAATTCCATTTATTTGAAGTAAATTTTAGTCAATAACTGATACCTTCTACAAAGACATTTTGTCCTATAAAACCTTTTATAAAAACAAAATTGAAAAATGAGTTCCAAAATAATGTTTCTTCAAAAATTTTGTCAAATTTTTTGATCATGCGTTTGTCAAAGTATCGTATGTTTGTCCGAAATTGTTTGTTAATAATACATATCACATATTGATAATGATCACATTGGAACAACTAAATTTCTTTGTCGACTGAAGATCTCATCCATAAAAGAACATTTGCATAGCACAAGCCAACGTTAAAACTATCAAAGTACCAACACTGCCAACAGAAATTTTATGAATTTACAATCATGTATTTCTACAGATTTAAATGACTTTTTGTAAAATACATAAATACAAGTTCTTTATTGTTATACATATCTTATTTTGTTGCACTCCAATTTGTCTGATGTAAGTTGTATACTTTAGTCTAAAAGTAGTAATCAGCATTTAGTATTTCGTACTTAAGTTTTATACTTTGGTATTTTAGCGACAGTTTCAGTTTTTTAATAGAAAGCAACTTACACCGATCAGTTTCTAAAAAATTCAATTAATGCGACCGAAAGAAAAATTTCTAGATTGTTCTCTTTGTCTTCTCATCGATAAACACAAGTCGATATAAGATTATAGAATATTAATTTACAAGATTATAACTTAACAACATTATAGAATATTATAGAAGTTATAGAATATTAATATATTATAGAAATATATAAATAATATAAATATATATTATATTTATATAATATTATATTAATTAATATTTATACATTAATATATATATTAATTTTTATATTAATAATATAATATATTATTTATATACATTACAGAATATTACAGAAATTACAGAATAGTAATATAAATTTAGAATATAAGAATATTAATATCGTAATCATTGAATTTTCATATCGTTCCTTCTCATTCGTGAAAAGGAAAAAAAAGTGATTTGCTACAAATTTTGTTTCTTTCTTTGAAGAAAAAAAAAAAAAAAAAATTTCCATCTCGCCGACGGAGGAGACCTCACCATCTCACTTTCTACTCGAAGTTTCAATAAAATATTACGCCACGATATTATATATATATATATATATATATATATGTAACCAGCTCTCGATAGAAATCGAACGGTTTACCTGTCACCGCAACTTCGGACACTGTCGAACGGTTATCAACGCAGTTGTTGCTTGCTTAATTTACAGATCGTTGGGATTCAACGGAGTGTGTCAACCGGCTCGGCAGCCTCAGCGTCTATTGACCTTTGCTCGATCACGCAGTACCAGTAGCCGCTTCCGACCGAAATCCATCAAGAAAAACGACGAGCCATCTTAGGGAAGCTATTTTAACCTTTGTACATTTTATCAGAAATATCCGAGAAATATATAACGCTAAAGAGCGAAGCACCGTGATTGTTCCCTGTTTTAAACAGAAATATAACAGATCCAGGAAAGATACGAATATTTTATCCAAGATACCAGAGGAGAATCAAAGAAAAAGGGGTTGAACAGAGTGAACGAGTAAATGACCGAACCACGCTTGTGGTTTGCTGTAGAAACGAGAGGGAAACGGGCGTGTATTACGTTAGTGATGTGTTAGAACGCCTCTGGAAAGGAGAAGAAAGAGGAAGAAGCATGGAGAACGCGGCGATTGCGCTCGATTCGACGGTCAGGAGCCAGGATTCGAGCAATTCGAAGGACTCGAAGGGATCGAAAGACTCGAGCGCGTCCGATTCGAAGCCGGAGAGCTGTCTGGAATCGAAACACTCGAAGGAGATCCTCATCTCGGAGAAGCAGCAACGACAACAGCAGCCGCGAACGCAGCAACATCCGGATGATCGACAGAAGCTGAAGAGCATCGAGTCGAAGGACGAGTCGAACATTCTGATGTTCACTTCCTGCGGGCAACTGCTCCTTGGTAAGTTTGCTTCTCACATTTCTAGTGGGTCAGTTCTGTTTCTCGAGATCCACACTCTCTTTGTGAATTGTCATTCGATGGAATTACAAGTGAAAGTTAATTTGCACGCTTGAGAGTTAACTTCAGTTTAGGAAATTAGCTTTGAAGAGATTGAAGACTGGAGAATGAGCTTTGAAATTATCTTGGACTTGGTATTCCTGTGGGCAAAATTTACAGTTGTAGATTTTATTTTTGTTACCTTCAAGTTAGAAATTTTATTTTTATTTTACATTTCTAGTGGGTCAATTCTGTTTCTCGAGATCCACACTCTCTTTGTGAATTGTTATTCGATGGAATTATAAATGAAAGTTAATTTGGACGCTTGAAAGTTAACTTCAGTTTAGGAAATTAGCTTTGAAGAGATTGAAGACTGGAGAATGAGCTTTGAAATTATCTTGAACTTGGTATTCCTGTGGGCAAAATTTACAGTTGTAGATTTTATTTTTGTTACCTTCAAGTTAGAAATTTTATTTTTATTTTACATTTCTAGTGGGTCAGTTCTGTTTCTCGAGATCCACACTCTCTTTGTGAATTGTTATTCGATGGAATTATAAATGAAAGTTAATTTGGACGCTTGAGAGTTAACTTCAGTTTAGGAAATTAGCTTTGAAGAGATTGAAGACTGGAGAATGAGCTTTGAAATTATCTTGGACTTGGTATTCCTGTGGGCAAAATTTACAGTTGTAGATTTTATTTTTGTTACCTTCAAGTTAGAAATTTTATTTTTATTTTACATTTCTAGTGGGTCAATTCTGTTTCTCGAGATCCACACTCTCTTTGTGAATTGTTATTCGATGGAATTACAAGTGAAAGTTAATTTGCACGCTTGAGAGTTAACTTCAGTTTAGGAAATTAGCTTTGAAAAGATTGAAGACTGAAGAACAAGCTTTGGAATTATTTTGGGACTTGGTATTTCTGTGGACAAGATTTATAGTTGTGGATTTTATTTTTATTTACTTGAGGAATTGCAAACGTCCCTGTGGTAGAATTTAAAAATTTTGGGCCTAGAAAGTAGAGCTGTTTGATTTCTAATAATTCTTTTAATCTTAGGATTTAGAATTTTATTTATTGTACAATACATAAGGAAAATCCTTTGCATCAAGTTTCATCTTGATTTGATTTATAATTATTACTGAAAATGCTCTCATAATATAATTAATGCATAATACACTAAAATTGAATTTAGAAATAAAAATTTCTATGTTTGTACATGTATAATATTTATTAATAATAATATACAATATATAATTGTAGATACATATATATAAAAATTAGAATATTCATTTCATTGAAAGTGATGTGAGTCCACTTTCTTTTACTACAATATTTCAATTGATCAAAACAAAACGAGTGCTTTAAGATTTAAACTACAAATTGTTTATAAATAAAAAAAATTCACGTCAAGTGATTTCAAATGTTTCGTTTTTTCAATTTCCTTGAAAAATTCTGAGGATTTACGTCGCTTTCAAAATGGTAAAATCCAGTAGAGATCATATTTATCAGAGATTGGTACGAGTACAGTATAAAAGAAAAGCAAGTGGCGTACGAACAACAAGGGGAAGTAGACCGTGCACTATCAGACACATTTGATATCCACTACAATACGATCTGTACAATTCGTTTGATTGCAATTTATCATGCACACGTGTATTACTTTGATTAATTGTTTCAACAGCATTATAACAATCATGACTGTTTACATAATTTCTTTCGATCTAGTGAACTTAATCGTTCACGATGGCAAATTATAAAAATTTGATTCACTGCAAGAACCTGTTTTGTCTTACAACGTCAGACATCCGCGGCAGAACACGTTTTTTGCCAAGCGTTTGATGGCAAACTAGAGATTAATTAATAATTATTCAGACTGATGATATGTAAATATACAAGTTTCTTCCGAAAGAAGGAAGAAGAAAATGTTTTCTCCGGTTACGTCAAACAATATTGATTATTACAGAAAAGAAATAATATCCGGATTCTTTGACAATTGAAATGCAAATATAGGCAAAAATAGTAGAAGAAATACAATTATGAAATTAGTTTAACGCGTGCTCCAGTTAAATTTTAGTTTAACAATATTTATATCATTCAGAAGGAACTAGTTTTCAAAATCGTTTGTGCCGTGGAGATTAGATTGAAAATACCGTAATACATTGTTATCTTTATTAGACGAGATGTTTCAAAATTTCTGAATCAGATAATAATTATTTTCGAAGCTTCAAATGTTGTGATTGGCCTGTGTGGAAAATGAAAAAAACTATTTGATGAAAGGCAATTTTTGCATTAATTTGAACTCGTGTATGCAGTATTTATACAATTAATTGTTGGAATGATACAAATGTGATAAAAATTAAGCAGCTCATGTTACAATATTTATTTCCTTCTTTCAGAAAATTTAAAAAATTGTAATTCTTGATTAACTCGATAATGGCGTATTTCGGAGATATTAATTTATGTTATTTATTTCATCTGTTTCGTTGAATAATTTATTTTTACGCGAGGGAAGGTCATTTGTTTTCTATTTTACAAATATTAATATTAGCAAACTTCCTAATAAAAATTGCAATAATTTCATTCACTTTCTACTCTTGTTTTCTCAATTTCTCTTACAAAGACACATGAATTATCGATTAATTAACGTTCGTAATTACGTTTGAAAAATAACGAATTGCTCGCGATTGTGCACAGTGTGTAAAACAAGCATTGAAACTGAGCAATTGGTTTCTACTTTCGCATAGAATCTCGATTGTTTCGAAATTCCGTGTGCATGAAAAGCACACTGAGCCGGCCACCGAACGCACATTTCACCAAACTGCATAGAAATCGACGTAAAAGTGAAAACATTTCACTTAGAAAGCCACACTTGTGTAACTGTTTCCACGGGTTTGCAAACCGTGGAGAATTGCCGCGCTGTAGTTCATTGTTGTATTCGATGCTCTCTGGTGACACTCTGGCGAATACAGTTATTCCAATGTTCTGCAATTCGTGTAAAAGACGAAAGTAAATTTTACTGTAGAAAAGCTCAAGATTGTGATTGGAATATTTTTTATTTTTAATATTATTAATATTTTTAATATTATTTTTATTTTTGATATCTTTAATATTATTTTTATTTTTAATATTATTAATATTTCATTAATATTTTTAATATTATTTTTATTTTTGATATTTTTAATATTAGTTTTAATATTCGTTCTAGATAATATTAACTGTATTTTATATAATAATACAACTCTTTACATATGACCACTATATATAAAATAGCTACTATTTAATTTTTCTAGAATAAACAGATATGGTGTATAATATGGTTATACATATACACATTGATACACTTAGTAAAAATATATATAACATATAATAAACATAAAACATACATATAATATATATTGATACAAACAGTAAAAATGCAGGAATATTAATATATTAACATGAATGTATAAATATATAAATACAAGCTAAATACATAAGTAAATTAACACATATTGTGACTACGTATACATTTCTTTACATATGACTTATATAATTTATATAGCTCTTTATATATGAACAGTGTATATAAAATAGCTACTATTTAATTTTTCTAGACAAATATAGTGTTTATCCTAAGAACATATTATATTATACATATACACATTGATATACATAGAAAAAAATATATATAATATATAGTAAACATAAAACGTATAATATATACTGATACATGTAGTAAATGTAGGAATATTAATATATTAATATACATAAATATATAAGTAAATTAACACATATTTCTTTACATATGACTTATATATGAACTCTTTATATATGAACACTATATACAAAATAGCTACTACTTACTGTCCTAAGAACATATTATATTATACATTGTAAAAATATGTACAACATATAATAAACATAAAACATATATGTAACATATATTGATACATATAGTAAAAATGTAGGGATATTAATATATCAATATACATGAATGTATGAATATATGAATACTCGCTAAATAAGTAAATTAACACATATTGCGACCATTAATCTTTAATAATAATCATTCTACGATTCCACCTGTACGTTTCTTCTAATTTAATTGTTAACTGTCTTCTTTCAGGTGTTGTTCTGGTAGTGTTCGGTATCCTAGTGCTGGTCCACGGAGCGGCTTTAGGCGGTTCCGGTGCAGGATTGTGGGCAGGTGTGGGTGCCCTAGCTGCAGGAGCGTTGGGCGTAGTGGCGACGCTCGCAACATCGTCGAGCAAGACGAATTCCAGCTTTTCCACGGCTCACCTTGCAGCCAGCCTCGTTGCCCTTGCCCTTTCGAACATGGCCGCAATCACGGCCTTGACTGCTATCGTCAGGGACTCGCAGAGGACACCGGAAGTGACCTTGCTCACTGTTCCGGTACGTATTGTGTCTACTTTCACCGGTACCTTCTATTTCTTTTTTCCTCTTCTCTACCATTGTAACACCACGCTGGAATTGTTAGCTACTGTTTTTTCCAACTGATCTCCCCTGATCTTTCATGCTCTCGTGGAAATTGGAAAGTGCAGAGGCGCACGCAAGGCACACAGTGTATGCAAAAATGTACAAAATTACATTTCCTCGGTTAAATAAACGAAGTGTTCATGGAAATACAAAGATCTGTAGTCTGGTAGTAAACAGCATATATAAAAGTAGCATATAAAAAGCATGTATAGAAGTAGATAGATGAATCATTCAGTAGTCATATTAACCAATTATTACAAGTAATATTTCTTTTGTCTATTTACACTGTTGTTTTGTTTATTATTGTTCGTATCTTCATCCTAACCAAGGTTTATGGAGATTCATTTGGAGTTTTTAGAATTGTGCATTAATCACTTTGGCTATTAAGAGTGTTGGCTCGTTCAGGATATTCTTACTAAATATTTAAAGAATCATCATAGAGAAATTTTATCTGGATATTGCGCACAGAACATTTTACTACACATATAGAATATTTTGAAATTTTCCCAGCAAGTGCAACCATGATCATCGATATATGAAGTGATATAAAAATATAGAAGTATGAATTATATAAAAGTCTAAAGTGAATCTGCAAATGTATAATATGCACAAGACTAGACTAATAAAATAAGAAGGCTAGAGACACATCATGTTTCACGTAGCATGTACAATTTACAAAAATATAAAACAAATAAATAAGAAATTAGTCGATTGGTGCGATAGTATAAGTCACTAATTTCCACGTTACTGCACCAATTTTTTTCAATTTTTGCTTAATAAGTAAACAGGGACGAGCAATTACACTGCCGCAAACTTTTCACGCAAACTTATCGCTCATGTAACGTATCGCGTCTCTACGGTGATAACAGAAATTTCCACTCTTCGAGTTGCACTAGCGATCACCGCGAAGGTATCAATTACGATCAATCATTAGCGATGCGATAAGTATAATTCAATGCCGGAGGGGGCGATTCTGTTGGCACGTGCCTATTCCGTGAAGCTACTAAGAAGTTAACGGTGACTTCATCGGGAAATTATTACCGCGCTGTCGTTGCATAGTTGCCTGTATGAAACGAAAACCGGGATCCACCATCGAGGATCGATAAAAATTTCTCACATCGATAGAGAAATTTCATTAACCTGCGCAAAGGTCAATACGGATCATCTTGCTGCGCAACTTTTTCCTTTTTTTTTTTTTTTGTTATTGATGGACTTAAACGATTACGACGACTTGTATTTAAAACGATTTTAACATTTGATGGACGATTTTAATACTTTCTCAAATTTTTTTTTTTTGTTAAATTTCTTGCGATTAGGAATTTTTACAGTTTTCTAAATTATCCTCGGTTTTTTGTGGAACCCAATTTTGAAGAGGAGAAACAAATTTCAACTGTTGACTTTGAAGCACGTTATAAAACTTAAAATTTATAATGTGCTCGTATAATTAAAATAAATTGAAATTTGTAATTGCCAAAACAACGTATCAATGTTTAACAAATGTTTAATTATAATGTTTGACAGAAGAAACAAATTCCTGGTTTGGATTCTATTATTTTAATTGTGTTTCTAAAAATTTTACATTGACACAGAAAAGAACAATGAAAAATTGTCGACAATTTAAACGTTTCGTATAACTTTGAGAAAGAAATTAAAATATAACGATCCAGTTGATCGCGTCTTAAAGAATCGTGAAGCTTCTACTTTGACATTCGTGGGCTTATTCTTCTGGCAGAAAACTTTTTCCTCGAAAATTGTAAAACTCTTTAATACAGTCCTTTAATACAATTATACTCTTCATTGTAATCCTTTGTATACAGATAAGAAAAATTCTTTTTCGTAACACAAATTTGTATGATTTTTATGTTTTAATATAATATAATATGATATTTAATATTTAATATTTAATATAATATTATGTAATATTTAATATAATATAATATAATATTATATAATGTTTAATATAATATAATATATATTTTTTAATATAATATAATATTATATATTATTTAATATTTAATAATTTAGTATTTAATATAATATAATATTTAATAATATTTTAATATTTAATATAATATAATATTTAATAATATTTTAATATTTAATATAATATAATATTTAATAATATTTTAATATTTAATAATATTTAATATTTAATATAATATAATATTTAATAATATTTAATATTTAATATATAATACAGTATAATATAATAGTTAATAATATTTTAATATTTAATATATAATACAGTATAATATAATATTTAATAATATTTTAATATTTAATATAATATAATATATTTAATATAATATAATATAATATTTAATATTTAATGTATTATGTAATATTATTATTGAAATTATTATTTAATACGTTTGGCATATTTAATTTTTATGCTTGTATATTTTATTATTATATAATAGTGTGGCTCAATTGATAGTAACCGACGTCGACCCAAAATTCGTTTACCAATAGTTTTCTCGTTCATCGATCGCCATCAACGCGAGTTTCGGCGTGACCAACCGGAACAGGGCCGTTGGAACCGTTTGACCGCCGGAGAAAGTTGCCAATGCCAAGGCTAAAACGCGGTCAGGGCACACGCGTGATCGTGAAATTTCACAAATTGCTTCGCCTTTGGTCCTCCACCCAAATGGGGTGGAGGACCTCTGCGCGCGCGTGTCCTCGCTTCCGATCGAAACGTTTCCGGGCGCAGTTACCTGAATCGAAAAAATGTTTTCGCGAAGCGATCGATCGCGGAAGTGTTCACAGGACGTAGCCTACGTTCTTCGAAAAGCTTCGTAAATTCTCGTGGCGCAGCAGGAATCCGAACGAGTCTCGCGAAAGAAACTGGATCGCTGAACGAATGATGGATCGGCGACATGACTCTCGAAGAGTCATAAATTCTGGTAACGTGACCTGTAATTTTCAAAAAAAAAGGATTTCCGCGGGAGAGTGGTAACAATTAATCGAGAGGAATTTTTGAACCTTCGAACGTGAACTCGAATTTAAGCAACGATGGATTAGAGATACATCGTTTCAAGGTCTTGATAAGTCTTTGCAGAAATCAGAATCATGAATCACGATTTTTTTTTTTTTTTTTTTTGATATTCTGCGAGCAGGTGGATTCTAGAATTAATGATGGATCGAAAGTATATGTTTTAAGAATGTTTTCTGTTTTAACAAGATTCGAGAAAGTTACGAATAAAGCCGTCAATTTTTCGTAAAGTCTTTTAGAATTAAATTATTTAATTTTAATTACTTCTAATTACTCGTGTTACTAATTTCAATTTACGAAGCCACGCAACATACAAAGTAAAATTGAACATTTCAAAATTCTCTGGTATGATATAAATTACTTTAGAAATTAATTATTTTGTAAAATATCTATTATTAATATATAATTATTATTTTTGAAATATTCTTTTATTATTATTTATGTGAATAAATTGATTATCTCTTCTCAAGTTGATCGTACATTCTGATAATGTGAAGTTAAACGAATCTCAAGTGTAACATTATCGAACAACGTGAAATTCATTCTCAACAAGAATTGAAGTAAATAGAACAAGTTGAAGTAACTAGACTTTGACGAATATGGATTGCTGAACCTTCGTTCCACCGTTTGACAGGAGAAAGTCCTCTGAAGTAGAGATGTGCCCAGTCTATATTTGTCTTTACTTCTCAATCGAAAGAATATGTCAATTTGTCTTTCGTTCACATCACAATACAACCAATATATATCCAAGTTAATGGACTAATTTACTACTCCATTTCTCTGTTGCATTCATGAAACTGTACTTGATGTACCTACTTGGTGCAACACATTAACGAGATTGTAAGAACAATAGGAGAAGAAAATGAGAGCACAGTTGGATATCGAGTGTCAGAAGCTTCAACACGGATATTTCCATGCGTATTACGTGATTAACATAATATATGAAACGTTATAGCTATAAAATCCCTTTCTTAAAAATCGTAAAGTCCTATAGATGATCAACAATCTGGATACAATAGGCTATACAATTTCGTAAATGTAATTTCATACGTTTGTACATCTTATGTTAGTGCTTGTCGATATGATGATCTCGCAGTTGAAATAGCATTGACCATTAATTGGCTAAATGTACTTGCCATATACCAACTGTCAGGCTATCATTTATAATATACTCCAAGCGTGTTACCACATCTTCCCTCCTTCAGTTTCTGCAACTGAAACAAAAAAAAAAGGCAATAAAACAGTAAAAGTTTAAGACAATGATGATAAATGTAAATAATTATTTAAAGTATTTATTCTATTATATAATTATATTATTTAAATATTATACTATTAGTATATTGTATTATATTATATTAGTATAATATAATATAGTATTAAATATTATAGTAGTATATTATATTATATACTATATAAATATTATACTATTAGTATCAGTAATATATATTATATATTATACAAATAATATAAAAAATTTGTACATTATATGCTATCATTTATAATATACTCCAAGCATGTTACCACATCTTCCCTCCTTCAGTTTCTACAATTGAAACAAAAAAAAAAGACAATAAAACAATAAAAGTTTAAGACAATGATGATAAATGTAAATAATTATTTAAAATATATTTATTATATTATATAATTATATTATTTAAATATTATACTATTGGTATAATATAGTATTAAATATTATAAAAATATATTTATTATATTATATAATATTATTTAAAAATTATACTATTAGTACAATATAGTATTAAATATTAGTATTAGTAGTATATATTATATATTATACAAATAAATTGTACATTATATGCTACCATTTATAATATGCTCCAAGCATGTTACCACATTTTCTCCCTGTTCTATCCTCCCGTACAACTGAAACAAAAGAAAGACAGTAAGACAATAACAGTTTAAGACAATGATAACAAATACAAACAATTATACAAGACACAATTACATTTGTTACATCATACAATTATATTACTTAAATATTATACTATTTGTATTGTACATTATACATTGTACAAATAATGTAAAAAATTTGTATGTTATATAAACGTATAAAAGTACAAATATAAGACACTTTTACTTTATTTGTATAAAAGTACAAATATATATAAGACACGTTTATATAAACGTATAAAAGTACAAATTAAAGACACTAGTAAAAGACATATGTATACTAACCGTCGTCTTGTTCTACACAGGGCGAAGACAACGAGGCAACCGAGATGGAGGGTAGCTGGGCGAGCCTGTTGGCAAGCGTCGGTCTTCTAGTGACCAGCGTCGCCGAGCTGTTGGTCTCTGGCTACAGCTGCCTGACCTTGACCCCGAAGCTCTGCGGATGCCTCCGAGCGAGCAACGTCGACGACGTAACGAACGACGGCCGATTGAAGACCCGCAACATGGTCCATCAGTGGGTGACCGCGCAGAACCACGTGCCGCCGAAAAGTCAGCCGATCTACGTGGTGCAGCCGATGCTGCCGATGCATCCGATGATCCAGGTGAGGTCCGGGACCCTCTCTCCCACGACCCTTCGTAGCTTCGTAGGCTGCTGCGAGCTACTCCGACCTCCGTGGCGAACTGGATGGTAGGGGGATAGGTCAGTGACACGGAGAGGCGAGCTAGAAAGTTCAGACACCAGAGATCGGCCATGATCGCGCCAGAGAGAAACTCGCCAGGCTCCGGGCGATCTCCGTGCCTACATTTCGGGAGATGCACGAGCTCTCGGCGTAGCCGATCCAGCAGCGCAGGTGTTTTCTGTGTCAGCAGGATGAAACAAGCGGAGCTTCTCTCTGTCTCTCTCTTTCTCTTTCTCTTTCTCTTTCTCCTTCCGTCGTGACTCGCTTTTCGGATTCCCCTTTCTTCAAGTACTCGAGGGTAGAAATGGGATCGAGTTTCGATCGTTGAAAGTATCCATCTATCAGATCTGTTTTCAAATTTGGGTTCAATTATATTCAAATGATTACTTATTACATGCAACTTACAAACAATTGTTAATTACTGAGGTCGTGTATTTTCTTTTTCTAGAACAAACTTGAACGATCAGATTGTACAATAAATTTGCAGTTTAAATTTGTTACATTGTAAGATATATGTCCATCTATTAGAAGAAGATGTAATTACTTTCTGGCCAAACCAATATATAGTTATATTCAAATTTAAGCATGATTGTTTTAAACGTTTCACGAGTACTACATAAATAGAATACTAAAGTACGTCAGCAATAGCTAATTATAACTAATTATAGTTGTATAAATTATACAGTTACATTCAACTTTAACTTGTACAATTATATAGTTATATTCAGATTTAAACTGGATTGTTTCATGAATGCTACATGAATAGAATACTGATAGATAAAGTATCTCAGACGTAGGTTCAGACTTAGCTAATTATAGCTAATTATGATTATGTAAGTTACATTCAACTTTAACTTGTACAATTATATAGTTATATTCAGATTTAAACTGGATTGTTTCATGAATGCTACATGAATAGAATACTGATAGATAAAGTATCTCAGACGTAGGTTCAGACTTAGCTAATTATAGCTAATTATGATTATGTAAGTTACATTCAACTTTAACTTGTATAATTATATAGTTATATTCAGATTTAAGCTAGATTGTTTCATGAATACTACATGAATAGAATACTGATAGATAAAGTATCTCAGACGTAGGTTCAGACTTAGCTAATTATAGCTAATTATGATTATGTAAGTTACATTCAACTTTAACTTGTATAATTATATAGTTATATTCAGATTTAAGCTGGATTGTTTCATGAATACTACATGAACAGAATACTGATAGATAAAGTATCTCAGAAGTAAGTTCAAACTTAACTAATTATAGCTAACTATGATTATGTAAGTTACATTCAACTATAACTTGTATAATTATATAGTTATATTCAGATTTATTATTCATGAATTCGAGTACTGCATGAATAGACTCGAATACTGATACATAAAGTAGGATTCAAATCTAGCTAATTATAACTAATTATATAAATTATGTAGTTACATTCAACTATAAGTTGCATAATTATATACATAGTTATATTCAAATTTATTATGGGATACTTTATGAATATTCATGAATAGAATACTAATAAAGTCAATAGAATACTAATAAAGTTCTTCAGATCTCCTGTAAATATTAACAAAGTATGTCCCTATTCTTCTACGTGATTTTCAACCTTGCGTTCTTACTATAATAGCCAGTATAAATGTATGATGTATCTGACGTGCATATAGCGTCTGCAATGAAAGTAATATCACTTTACTGTTCCACGTTTTCGCTCCTTTAAACAAGAAGACGAGAAATCTCACAAACATCAAACTACTTACCTCGATAGTACTCAAAATCTACAAATAGTTATTTTCAGTGCCCAGATTCAAAATCAGTTTGTATCAAATTGATACATACATTGTGCTTATTGAAATTTGTTGAATGTACCTTATGAATATTTACCTTCGAACAATGTAATATTGAAAATCCAGGAAATGGAACTTAGACATCCGAACTTGGCTCGGATTTGTGACGAGTGTATTGGACTCGATCCCATCCCTACTCGAGGATGCTCCAGGCGTAATACGCGTTTGCGGTCTGCGGATGCCTCGCGAGATTCTTGCGGTGGATAGCCGGTGATTGGTTTCGGCCAAGGAATGCGCGCTGTGTTTGTTCTCGTTGTTGGTGAATTTTCCTTTTGTTCCTCTCGAGGCGTAAGATCGATTCGTTGGGGAGTATCTTAGTTGGAAGTTCACGAGGAGCACGATACGATCAGCCACAGGTGACTTGGAATGGATACGGTAGAATCTATTTTGGGTTGGTTTACTTTGGGAAATTTTATGCGTGAATATTATGGAACCAGTTGCATTTGATTTCAGCGAAATCAAGGGTTTAATTAAAAAGAATTATAGGTGGGTTTTAGTCGTGAAAATGGTTTAACCATTATAAATAGATTTGTAGAAGATATTTAGAAATTTTATGTTAGCATTGTCCCATCATGATTAGATAAAGATATTTATTTATACTTCAGAAACCACAAAAATGTTCAGCTAGCCAATTACAAAATTTAGTAAGATGATCTACCAATTCTATTCATGTTAAATGCATGTTTGCGACTTGTAATACACTTTCAAATTTCACAGTTTACCTATAATGACGACAATAATTGTCTCATATCATGATACTAATGAAATTTCAAAATGTTCCCTTATGATATACACCTTGTGATATATCCATAAATATTGTCATATTATAAATATTGTCAAATTATTATAATAATATTATATTATAAATATTGTCAAATTAGTATAATATTAATATTATATTATAAATATTGTCAAATTATTATAATATTAATATTATATTATAATATTGTCACATTATTATAATATTAATATTATATTATAAATATTGTCATATTATTCTAATAATAATTATATTATAAATATTGTCAAATTATTACAATATTAATATTATATTATAAATATTGTCAAATTATTATAATACTAATATTATATTATAATATTGTCATATTTTTATAATACTAATATTAATATTAATATTATATTGTCAAATTATTATAATATTAATATTATATTATAAATATTGTCAAATTATTATAATAATAATATTATATTATAAATATTGTCAAATTATTATAATATTAATATTATATTATAATATTGTCAAATTATTATAATATTAATATTATATTATAATATTGTCATATTTTTATAATATTAATATTATATTATAAATATTGTCAAATTATTATAATACTAATATTATATTATAAATATTATCAAATTATTATAATAATAATATTATATTATAAATATTGTCAAATATTGTTATATTCTTCACGGTAAATTTAACAAATTTTGTCACAGTCGCCTTATGCAATGGCTGGCGCTCCTGCGAAATTTCCCGGAGGATTCGTGCCTGCTGGACCTCTGCCAATAGCCCCAGCTTATGGTGCTGTTCCTATGCTGCCGCACATGCCGTACGCGGCTCGTCCCCCATCGCAAATCGTAAGTATCTTCCGCCGCGATACACCCTTCGTATTCCAGTCGCGGTTTCTCCTGCCGAAAATTATTGCCGTGTCAAAATAGCCATTCGGTTCGACATCGACCAGTCGGAATGTTCGTTTCCCTTTACATATAATTATACGGCCACGAGAAAAAAATTCCTGAAACGGTCGATACCGTTCGAGCGTGGCGTTGTCCGTATAATTTCTCTTTCGAAATCTTTCTTACACGATTCTCAGTATTCGTGAGAGCGAGGCAAAACGAATTCTATCTTCTCCTAAAAGGTTCCTTTTCGAGAAGATGTTCGACTCGGTATGGTAATTAGAATATGTGTTCTTTTTGAAGACTGTTGAAATTTCATGGAAATTATCGTTTAGTATATGTAAAATTGTTGTTTAGCGAAAGAACAGGGAATGGCAATGTTCAATTTCAGATTCGGCCGAAACATAAGCGTCACATAACCGTGGATCATGAAGACACCATAGAGAGGAAGAAACAAACGGAAAGGAAAACGGAGTCCCCAAAGAGGATGTCCTCTATAGGAGAAGATCAGGTAGATCTAGCTCAAACGTACACAGGATTGGACAAAAAGATTTCAGAGGAGTTCATCTCGATCGCCATGGATCCGGAAAGGAAATCGAAAGCCTCCAGCAGTCATGGTAGTGAAATCGGTACTGCGAAAACCTCTTGAAAGCATGGTATCTACATTTTCAAGCTTCGTATCGTATATACGAAATATTCTCCTACATTTTTACGCGCATAATTAGTGCTAAAAAAGAAAACGAAGAAAAAGAAAGTTGCCTGATCATCCACGCTTCGAAGATGTATGATTATAATTGTATGCAAGTCGTTTCGAGGATTTTCCTCCGAGGCTTTAGAATTTTACTTCGTTATGATAGTATCCTGAAATTTTAATTAATTGTTGTTGTAGATATGAAGTTTTGATCTATTTTTTGAACCGTTTTAATGAAATCTGTTTTGAACAGGGAACATAGGTACACGTTGCTGTGCTTTTAATTGTATAAACATGATTAATAGGTAAGATTTAAAATATTGGTAGATTTATTTATTTTTTACATACATTTTATTACAGCTGTTGTTTATTATATGTATATTCTTCGTTGCATGTAGCAATAAGTACTTGAAGAAGAAACTCAGGCTTTTAAAAAGCGTAACAACGTATAGCTTTGTATATTTGTTATACAATATAATTCCAAAGGTAAACTGTAATTACATTTCAGTTTATATGATATAAGATAAAGATATAAAATTCTTTTTACACAGGACGCGTTGAAAAGTAACATTGGAAAATGAATAAGTAAAGTTTTATACTGCCAAAGTTGTTTAATTTTTTAATATATATATATATTAAAATATAATATATAATTATAAATATACGTATATGATACTTCTAATAAGTTTCTAAGAATATTCTTACAATTTTCATACTTTTCCAGAGTTGTAACATATCCTAAAAAAAAGTGACAATTATAACAGTCAGAATTAACTTAAGAAAAGTATAAAATTAAAATAAACTGTACAGATGTTGCATTCAACTTCTGAAACATATTTAGTTTAAAACGACCAACATAAAATATCTGAAGTCAGTAGAATTGCAAAAAGTTATAGTACATTGAAATGTTTAATATAATCTTTGGAATATGCAATTATAGAATAAACTAAACTTCTAAAATACCTAATGTTATAAAGTAGGTATTTAAAATATAAATATGCTATTAATTACACATGTACAAGTAATGTAACCGAATTTTAACGATGTTCGAGTCGTTTATAATTACTGCTTCTTTTTTTTTTAATAATTTAGCCCGTAAAATGATACGCGTGATGCCGATTTAACATCGCCATTTTATTGTACAGTCGTAACATTGCTGCCCGAAAATTTATTCGACGCAAACTCCATCGTGTATATATGATATGTAACATGTACTGTTATAAATAAATAAATTTTAAAAATAAGCGTTAATTATCATTAATAAATAAAAGACAAAAGATACAACACACTCTTCTTTAAATACTGAATATTTTATTAATGGATTATAAGTACCTTATATGCGAGTATTTACATGTTCAATTCACTACAAACTACTTAAAATTACACGTAAAATCACATATGGCATATATTGCGCGTCATGTAACTAGCATATACATGCGTACGTTGTATACGAAATATAAAAATATCTTACATTCTTTTAATAGGAATAAGTTTTGCTCACTATTATTATTATTATTCATTGTTGTCGCTATTATTTCTATAACAAAATATATAAAAATACATGTGTAAAATCATCACAATCATTGGAATATATTTAATTCATGAATATATCAACGCCATGATGAACGATACGTTATTATGGCTAATATATAACATAAACATTTAATGTTAACAAGTTCTTTAAACTCACAATTGAGCGAATAAAATTAGATTATCATCATTCTTCATTTTAATTTTTTTTTTTCTTATGTCTATATAAAATACAGAGAATTTTTCAAAAATAATTTTCATTTTATACTAAACGTGTAAAAAAGGACGATAGATTATGATTTGTACATCCAGTTGTCTTCAATGAGCATAAAATACAGATTAGCATATTATTATTATTATTATTATTATTATTATTATTATCATTACTACTACTACTGTTGTTGGTATCTAAAAAGTTACAAAAAAAAATTTTAACTTCATACTTTAAGCTTTTCAGAATATATGTAATCGTGAAAATTTGTATAAAAATGCTACGTGTATACAATTTTCAGTACTTGGTATCTAATTCAACATTGTCTCCAAGAGGACTACTTATCATATATTTTGCTTAAACGAAACTATAATATATAAAATACCTTCTGCATTCACTGCATGTAAGTTTTTGTATTTCTTAATGTACAACATAGGACGTAGTACATTTTATCACAAAAAAAGACAAACTCATATTAAACATTTATTACTGAAATAATATGAAAGAAGCTGTGGTGCGGTATATTTTAAAAACAATCGTTCCATGAAATCGACGGTTACATATACGACTTTTCACTGGCTATTAATTCAGGATTTACGTTTGACAACAAAAATAATGAACATTGCAAGATAGTGAGCACTTTCTTTCTTTTTAGTTAGAAATTATAATTCTAATACTAAATAGATTATACTATTGCTTTTTGCACCAAAATAAAGAAATGTAAATATGATGTTTCTACATATAACTGACTAATATGTACAACTACTATGATACACTTTGTACATTTTTCAAGTATGAAACTACGCACTTATTAATCAAAATTGAAGATTATAATACCTAATAAATAATAATAATAATAATAATAATACAAATTTACACATAATATATCGCTAATAAAGTAATCTGTTCAACAAAATTCTTTGTATTTACCAATTGAATACTAATTGGTAGTTTTATACAACCCAAACTTTGTCTAAATAAAAGATTTTCATACAATAATTAAAAGCATATATCTAAGTCCTTAACTAACCAATTTATTAGCGATAAATCACATGTTACGTGATAAAATAGTTTTGTGGAAGACGCTGTTGGATAAGCATAGAGCTAAATTATTAAATTCGCAGAAATTTGATAAACAGAATATACAAGGTACTTGTTCAATGCACTCTTACAATCTTCAATTTTGATGCACAAAAAAAAAGATATTAATCGGTTATTCTCTAGAGTGCACTATAGACTTTTATCAAAACTATATTGAATTTGGAACAATATTGCCTTACGCGAGTTTTAATAACAAAACAATTGAACTAATTTCAACTAGCATTTGATATATCTATATCAATTGTTTCTTCCTTGAGCAAAGCTCGTTTGTCTTCTTTACTAGTAGCTTGTCGTTTACCACCGACTTTTCGTTTACCTCTGTTAAGTACACCATTTTCTTCATCCATCATACGTAAAATTTGCGTTTGATCAGAACTTTCTATCGGTGCTATCGAGATATCACGGACTGCACGGAATTTACCACAATTGTTCAAATGCTCGTTTTCTAATCGGAAGAAATTCCAAACGAATCGCCTTAAAATAAACACGTTATTAAATAATAAATTACTAATTTTAACGCTTGCTGTGCTACAAATAAATAGTGAAATAACTAAAGGAAATACCTGAAAACTTCAAGAGGTGCTACTATGGACGTCATTAAATCACTGGAAACGTATCCGCATTCGACAAGAACAAAATTCGCGATCCACGCAAATCTCAGAATAAAATCCTCGATTATAGCGAAATAATAGAACCCCTGTAAGAAATAATAAACACAATAAATCTTCACGTGAAAAAGAAAGATTTTCAAAAGACATATTCTCATCTACGCACAGCTGCTGAATATACTACTTCTTCGCGTAAAAATTTATTTTCACCAGCATTGCTATCCAGAAGGCCCCAATCCATTTTTAAATCCCAAGTTACCGAATAAATAGAATTAACAATGCAGCTAATAATCCAAAGCCACAACCATGGATTTTCCCAACGAGTTGGATAATCCGCTGAAATTAACATCTTTTTATCTCTTCAGTTAAAAGTGACATTAGTAAAAAGATTTGTCTGTAACTTACCGGCGCGGTAGGCACACATCGTATTAGATATAACAACGAGGAATGTAGTTGAATATTTTCCGGCATTAGCCAAGTGTGGAAATGCTTCTTTAGAATCTCGATATCGTCGTATACATTGTGCAAAACGGAACCATGCAGGCAAACAGTTAACAATAGGTCTAACAATTAAGGATCCGGACATACATTGCGTGCTGTCTCCTGCTTCTAACCAATTTCCATTGGTAATGTAAAAACACGTTAAAAAATGAAAGTCTAACAGTGCTGTGGCCATACTGTTCAATTGATCTGCCAGCCAGAAATCAGCGAAATTCACATACGCAAATGGTGATATTAAAACTCTTCCCTAAAAACAAGATTAAAGCAGAATTTTATTTTTTACCAACTGATGTGACTTTCCTGATGCGTTAGTGTTACCTACAATGATCTTTAATAGCCAAAACCGAGCTTCGTGTCGAAACATTTTTAATGGATTTAAAAGAAATGCTAGCATAATACAGACTAGAACTAATGGATTCACATATGGAGGAATGCTTAAGCTAGCACTGTACAAAAAGCTTAATAAACTAAGAGTCCATATAACTCCAAGAACAGCCGCTAGTTCCATAAGATGTTGTTCAGACAAATGATTTCGCGGGTCCAATTCAAATATCAATACGTGATTCACACCGGAAGATCGCCATCCGTAAACATTCACACCAATGAGAAATAAAAATTGTATAATAAGCAGAGGTCCGCGATATAATCTAAATGCAATCTTTAAGTTTTCACCGCCATCGTGAAATATTGCTAGAAAGAAAATTTATGAAATTCAGTATACAATGAGAATTGTATTTAACCTGTTTATTTATAATTTTGATCATTACCTGAAAGTACTACTGCCACAAATAGAACAATGAAACTACCCGAGAATAATCCAACTTTGAAAGTAGTCCATGGACTCTGATGCTCTCCTAAAGGTGGTACACGCAAACGTTTCATAGCACGTTGTCGGTCTCCACCTTCTAGATCGTTTGTTACGGTAGTTTCTGTATCTTGAATGACTTTGTCGATATCTTTTGACGTATAAAAGTGTGCAGTTTCTACACATTCCATCCTCCATTTTGATCCACTGTCTACAGACAATAACTGAAAATAAAAATAAGGATATTACATTATGTACATATACGACACAAGCTGCTATGATGTATGAGGTGTGCTGAGTTTTTACTTGTGTTTAATAGGATAGGGGGACTTTAAAATAAGTATTAGTTCGTTCCTTATTTTTTCATTATTGTTTAAATGAACCTGTAAACCTAGAGAAATACAGAAAAATTAAGCATGGATCAATGCAACAGTAGCAAACAGAATCTCATTCTATGTACCTTGTCGTGTTTCTTAAGAATCTTTCGAAAACCAGTGTAATTGAGATTCTGATAGTTCTGAAGAAGTATAAGAGACAGATAAAATTCTGAAAATGCAAGTTTCAATTCTCTCAGCTTCCTTGTTGGTAAATGAGGTTTAACATTCACTTTTCCCTTATTTTTTCCTCCGCCTTGTTGTAATTCTAGTGCTGTTTTCAATTCACTTTGGAGAGCTGCATACTTTCGTGTGGCTTCTGCTAACTTCTCTGTACAAAAGATAAATTATTACACAAATGTTAAATAATATGTGTTTCATTGTCAATAGATATACATAGTTCAGCAGAGTTTTCTTACCAGAATAGAAAGTATTAATTTTCTTTAATTCACGATCACAGAATGTAAAAAATACTTCATCAAAAGAAGCAAAATGTCTGGATATCACTTCTGGCTCAACACTTTCAGCTGACGGTGCTTCTTCTACAGCAGTATAAAGCATCGCCTTCATTTCCTATCAACCCAAAGATGTTGGTTTAATTAGTATTTTAATAATGATTTTTTATTATACATCTCCAATATTATATAATATCATACATATTTAATTTTCAACATTACTTTACTTTACCTCATAGCTAATGTATTGTTTACGCCACTCAGGTGTAATATGGGCAGATAAATGTTCTGCAAACTTCATTTTGCTTCACTTTATGTAACAACCTGCAATAAACAAATTCATTAAAATTATTATTTTCAAGTAACAAAGAAAATAAGACATATAGATAAAGTACAGATAAAAGTACAAAGTATGAGAGAAGTTCCATGTATTATGATTAACTGAATCTTTTTCTTTATTTCTGTATAAATTTTCAAGAACATTCACAATGTTTCAATTAACTATTAAATTGTGTAAATAGTATACACCAAAAGATAACGAAATAATAAAGTAAGCAAAAATGAATTGTTACCGTATTGTAAAGTAAACACAATATCAAAATGAACAAGTGAATCAATTGTTTCGTTTTATGCTCATCTTTAAGGTATTATAACCACGAAAGAGGTTACATGTAATACATACAATGCACACAAAACCTTTGTCGGTGGCGCTAGGTCAATATTTTCTCAATTGGTTTACTCCATGATAAATTACTATTGCTTGCAAATGAATGTCTTTATCCTTACTTACTATTTACAAATATTACAAATTATCAAATTTTATATGAAACATAGCACCAGTCTTCCTCCTATTCGAACGATAGTTATTGGACGGTGCAATAATTTATTTATCATTTAATCACGCTTTTCACAACGATAAATCATCGGACTGTTAGCAGTGAAGGCAATTTTTCGATTAAATTTCTGATTCGTACATATATCGCACAAAAATCTATTCAAATGCTTATATATTGATATTAATCACATTACATAGGTGTGATTTATAATGTTCAGCATTATAAATTTTTTTAATTCAACTCCTTTATTTTGGAACATACGTTTATTTTTGTAAATTTCAGTTTATTTATTTAGTAAATTTCAATTTTAAGCTTTATTATTACTCATCATATTTCTTATGTTATGAATAACATTTTTAATTATTTATATATACATATATATGTGTATATTTATATATGTACATATGTTAACATAAATATATTGTTTTATTCTGTTTCTTTTGCGAGGACGAATTGTCTGTACAAAAAGAAATACATATGCCTATTTATTTTTATACAGAGTTGTTTTACAGATGGCGCTAGAAAAACATGAAAACATTTTTCTTCAACTGTATTTGTTACAGCTAATAAGTATATATATCACAATATATAGTGCCTTGGTGTCTTGTAGAGCAACACAAAATTACTTATCACATTAAATTCATAAGTTGTAATATTTTTTTTAAATACTGCATATATTAAGTTAAACTTCATAGATATTGAAAAAGAATTCTAAAAGATTTGACAGAAGATTAGTGAACTTATCATTATACGTATATTATTTACGTAATTTGTACTTATCAATGTTATAAAATTTGTAAGTCTATTGCTATATCTTTGCACATATGTTTGCACAAGAATGATGTTAGCATACACATTATAAGAAATAACTTTTAGAATGTCATTTTTTTGCAAATAATAAATCTGTTACTTTCATTTTTTTAGGATGTATGATATTCTTTAATTGCAATTCTAACATAATATGAATTGGTTACTACTATCATTGTTCTTTATCAGTCTCATAAATAATAGTATATCATGGAAGACTTTTATGAGAGGTAGAAGTAAATATGGTAATCTAGGTGTTCCAGCTTTATCTAAAGATCAAGAACTTCCAAGCGACCAATGGTTTACACAGTTTTTAGATCACTTTAATCCAACTGATGCACGTGTTTGGCAACAGGTAATGTAAGAATGTGTTGAATATTTCTTAATTAAATGAACTAACATTCAGTTGATTCAAATTATTTTTTCAGAGATATTTTGTAAATGGAGAATACTACAAGAAAGGCGGGCCAGTATTCTTGATGATAAGTGGTGAAGCTGCAGCAGGTTCTAAATGGATGAAAGAAGGTCAATGGATTGAGTATGCCAAGCAATTTGGAGCATTATGCTTTCAGGTGGAACATCGCTTTTATGGGCAAAGTCATCCTACTTCGTATGTAATAATGCTTATCAAATATACAATTGATACATTTTACAAATTATGGCATAATGTTTCTGTTATCTGCAGGGATCTCAGTGTAAAGAATTTAATGTATCTTTCATCACAACAAGCACTTGCAGATTTGGCTTACTTCATACAACTTATGAATAGTAATTACAAGCTACCAAAGGATACCAAATGGATTGCATTTGGAGGATCATACGCTGGATCATTAGCTGCATGGTTGCGTTCTAAATACCCACATTTAGTACATGGAGCTGTTTCTGCAAGTGGTCCTTTATTAGCAGAAATTGATTTTCAGGGCAAGTATATATAAAAAGATGCTTAATTTAGCACTATTGTTTTATATTAACAATTATACCTTATAGAATACTATGTTGTCGTTGAGAATGCTCTCAAAGAATATTCTGAGGAATGTGTGAATACAATAATAAAGGCAAACCAACAATTTCATATAATGTTACGTCATCCTATTGGTCAACAAGGAATAGTTAAAAAATTTGCGTAAGTAAAAATCTAATTGTTTCTTCATTATTATAAATATATTATTTTTTCGAAAAATTATTTTTACTTATAGTTTATGTGATCCTATTGATCCTGGGCATACTAAACGTAATGATATCTCGAATTTATACGAAACAATAGCAAGCATCTTCGCCGGTATTGTACAATATAACAAAGACAATCGTAATAATTCCGCAATGGCTAATCTCACTATTGAGAGCGCCTGTGACATTTTAACGAATGAAACATTAGGTATAGCTGTCGATAGACTTGCAGTCTTAAGCACCAAAATATTGAATGCATCAGGAGAGAAGTGTTTAGATTATACGTATAGCAAAATGATTCATAAACTTCGAAACGTAACGTGGGCTAGCGAAGAAGCAGAAGGAGGTAACGTATTTCTCTGCCTATATAATTACTGTTTTATTTCTTATTTGTATTTCAATACATATTTTTTGTAGGACGTCAATGGACGTATCAAACGTGTACAGAATTTGGATTTTTCCAAACTTCAACAGCACGCCCCAATTTGTTTAGTGAAACTTTCCCAGCAGATTTCTTTGTACAACAATGTGTTGATATATTTGGTCCAAGGTTCGTTTAAAATTATGATAAGTACATTTTTTAATTGCGAAATACATTGTTCAATTCATCAGCTATAAATTAATATTTCCGTATTCTAATAGGTACAATATTCATTTGTTGAATTCGGCAATTAATAGAACAAATATTTTATATGGAGGATTAGATTTGAAAGTTACAAATGTAGTGTTTGTACATGGATCAACTGATCCTTGGCATGTTTTGGGAATTACAAAATCACCAAATCGGCAAATGCCTGCCATTTATATTAATGGTGTGTACAAATGGATTAAAATTTTTCATGTTTCATTTAAATTAAAAATTAATTTAATATTATGACCCATAGGTACTGCTCACTGTGCTAACATGTATCCTCCCTCCAAAAATGATCCACCTGAATTGAAAGCTGCCAGAGTAGCGATCGAACGTTTAATATATCAATGGTTGCATAGTTAATTATGATATCCTTAACGCTTTATGTGAAACATCCGACTGCTTAATGATAAATAGATTTTTATTTCTTTTATAAAACAACGATGCATTACAAGAATTAAATTTATTTCAGTAAATTTTTGAACAATTCATATTTTCATTTATGAGTTTCTGTGGAACAATTATTATTATACTACGTAAATATTTTTAATTTACATTTATATTCAAATAAAATTCGTGCATTATTAATACTAAAACTAATTACGTACGTAGACTTACTAAAAACATACGAGTGTTTGTCATTCTGTGTTTATATTAAACCACAAGAATATATAGATACAATTAAACAAATTTGCCCGTAATGGCACTATTACAATTTCCTGTGGATTACTGAGATATCAAATAAATACATGTACATACAGACATACTGTGAATATCTTACGTCAGTCAACGAATAAATACATATCATCTATTGATCATGTATGTTTTATTCTCGACGAGCATGAGAAGAAATGTTCAACTGATTAAAATAATACTAGACATAAATGATTCATTAAGATGTCGTAAAATCTATAAAAACAGATCCAACATGAGTTTTAACACGCGTAAATTGTCTTAGAATGAGCACCATAACTAAATGAATTTTGATTCTGAAATGGATAACGTCGGCCTTTCCTTAACAATACCATCTTCGAATATCGCTCCGCTGCGAGAAATTTGTTCGAGCCCTTTAAGGCGAGGCCAAAGTGCCCATAACAGATACTGATCTTATCGAGTGTTACCGATTTTCATAAAATATACCATATTACCGTGATCAAATATTCTTAATAATAATTTATATAAAAAATTATTGGAATTCGTTTGATCAGTAATTATATAATATATATTACTCTCTCATTTTTTTGGCATATCCTTCGATCAACATGTGATCCTCCACATTCACGACTTCCCTCTCTGGCTTACGCTACTGCAGTATACGGTATTTACATTAACAGTAACACGATAATCGTAAATGATTTATTGTATAACAGAACAATAAATGCAGGATGAATTAGTTCTTTTTATCTATCGTTCACGTTTCAAGATTCTCCTACGCAACGTTTGAATCGTTCACCATGTTCTTTTAAATTCCCATTGTAAATGGGTTTACAGATTATTTTATAAATGGCAGAACGGAGTGGATAATGATTTTATATTGAAAAAAGAAAAGAATGAAACGTAAGATAATGAAATATTTATTTTCGAAAGAGAATGATTTTAAATGTTTGCCAAGTATTTGAGAAAATATGCGTGCATGTTCTATCCATCTCAACAATATTCTGAGATGGATTTTGCTTTTATATAGAGAGAAAAAATTTTTATCTTACATTTTCTTGGCATAAAATCATCATTCTCCATGATCATTCGCCATTCATTAAGCACGCACAGAGCGTGAAAAAAAAAAAACAGCTTGCTCGTGATCCAATCGCGACTCGTTACAGTTATCGATTCACCGAAAACCTGAGGAAATAAGGTATCCTAGGTAATAGATCCGGTGTTCAGTATCTGTGATGGGACTGGGACTGCCTCCACTCGGGCGTAGAGTTACCGTGGTGATGATGATGATGATGGTGATGGCGTTTCTTGTCGGAAATGCTGGCGTGCTTGTTAGACGGATACGTGGCTACGTCGCTCACAACTAATTCCGAGCCATCTCTCTCGGTGTTGTTGCCACGGTAATTTTCTCGGTATCCTGGTTCATCCAGGGTCTCCTTGCGACGAAGAGGAGGATGATTGGTCTTATGGCCGGTCGTCTCGTGCAGATTTTCCCAAGCTTGACGGTAGTATCGATTCAAGCCTCCTCGACTTTCGGAGGAACTACTTCCAAAGCTGGCCACGGTATTGCAATCGGGGGATGCACGGTGCCGATAGTGCTTGCTGCTCCGACCGCGATTTCTGCGTGAATACGTCAACAGATATTTATTGTCAAAAGTGAAAGAAATTCCACAGCACGGAACAGAAATAAGAAAATTTCGTTGGAGGATTTATTTCAAAAAAAAAAGAAATATATTTTAGTGATTCATGATTTTCTCTTCTTTTTTTCTTTTTTTTAATCATGTATTAAGCGAGGTGTACATGTGATTCGTGTGCATCGTCGAGATTTGGCTTTCAGATATTTAAATTATTTCTTATAAAACATTTTTATCCTAATATTTCTGGCTTCTGTTTCACCATTGTTGTTTAGCGATCGAAGCCAAATCCATCGTTCAATTTTGTTTTACGTACATACGTGTGTTTAGCGAAGTGTGATCAAAGCAATGTTTAGTGAAGTAATTAGCAGCACCATCACCAGCTTGAAGATAAAAGTAGCAGGAAATTAAAACTGTTCAAACGTCTAATTTCGCGCTCAATCGTAATTCTAAATCAACCGAGGCCATCCGATTAACAGAAACAGAACAACAGAACGATTTTTTTTTTACAACGAAGGTATTAAAATACTCGTGAATAATCAAATGATAAATTTTCCATCTGCGAAAGTCTCGCCTCTAATTCAAGCTCCGAATCAAATCGCTTTCTCCACCAACAGAGGGTGGTGTTGAATCCTATTCCAAACGACGTACTAAAAAAACAATCGCACGCAGACGAAGTTACAGGGACCTCGGGGGAAGAAGAAGGTGCATAAACGCTGCGTCGATGTGTGTGCGTCGGGGAAGTAGAGAAGAAGCTTTCAAAAAAAAAAAAAAAACAGCTCTGTGGTGAGCTGTGGTGAACGAGCTATCGCTATATATGGGTGCTCATTATAAACGTTGCTCGTTTACCTTGACTAGTAATCACTCGCGAGGGTGGCGCATGGCGGTTGTAGTGGTACGTGGTGATGGTTGATGTAGAGGTGGGCGGTGGTTGCGTGGAGGGTGAGGGCGATAATGGTGGGCTATATATGTATATATATATATATATATATATATATATATAGAGAGAGAGAGAGAGAAAGAGAGAAAGACGTATGTATACATATACAGGAAATAGTTGTCTTAAAGGGAAGGATTGGAGAAATATCCAGCGCGATGGGCCGCCGAGAGACCGAAGGAGTAAGGATAATCGGTGCCGCGGCGAGCCGTCAAATCGCGGCGCCCCAGGTGCTGGTCGGGGAAGGGCAGCGCCAGCAGCGTATACCAACGCGAAGGCATCCCGGTATCACCCCTTCCAAGGCCACCACTACCGCCACCCCTCAACGCACCAACCCCACCAAGCCCCCTGCGGCGCCTTCCTCTGACGCTGCCACTGCCGCTAGCCACCGCAACGCAAACGGGCTCAGTGTTAATCGTTATTGTTTCTTGATCGTTACCTAGTTTCCTCTGATCAATCTTTTTCTTTTCCATTTTCTTTCTCTTTTTTTTTTTTTTTTTTTTTCTTTGATCGTTTCCCTTTTCTTTCAGGTGTTACTGTTTCTTTTTTTTTTTTTAACATTCTGAGCATTGAGCTCAGGTGTAATACTAATACAGTTGGAATTTTCATGAGTAAATTGAAGATCTTAAAAAGAGCACTTGTGAAGAAAATTCGAAGGTATTGAAATGGAGAGACAAATATCTATTGGATTAATTGTGAAAATGTGAGTCTGCGTAAAAATCTATAATCTACTACTAACATGATCAAACTACTGCTACCTGTGATCTGCTAGTAACAAAACATTCAAGCAATATTTGTCCTGTGATCAAACAAAATATTCAGAGAATCGAGATGAAATTATGTATTTCTTTCTTCGACTGTATGATATACGTTTTAAAGTATTCTTCTGTTAGATATGTATCCTCAAAATGTGTTCACTGATTGTTAGAGAGAGTCACTGCGAAAATGAGATAATCCAATGTTTCAAGCATAATAGGAATTCTACAATATTTCTTTTATTAATCAAAACTTGCTGTAAATCGTCGTGAACTTCCAAATTTCACCTAAAGTAATTTACAATGTATTTCAAATATGAATGGAAATCTCTTGGTCGAGTAATTTTGCATTTTTTCACTTAAAGTAGGGAAAGGTTTTCACAGCATGCTGCACCAAAACTACATTCATAACGTTACCAATGGACAATATTTTGAAAAAAAAAAAAAAGATACAATCGAAATCAAGAGGGCTTGGAGGTTTATCTTTACACGTTTTGAATTACAATGAATTACAAATTACAAATATTTCGGAAATGGGGTATGAAACGCGCGATTAGATAAGAAGAGATTAGACAAGAAGACAGACGAAAGAATAAAGAAAGTTCAAACAAATGTAGAGTAAGCGATACAGTATACACACGTAGGGTCAAAGAGCCAATGTATTGTATGTATATATAGAAGCTATAGTTATACATAGTCTGCCCAAGAAATAATGCCTGTTGAAAATGAATCGAAGGCAATACGATCTTTAAATTGCAGACAGTAAGAGCACGAGATGATTGTGTGAACGTAACATGACGAAAATCTAAAAGTCAAAATGGGAATAATGTAACATGCATCTATACTATATATATATATGTTCGAATATTTATGGTAATTGATAGTCAATGGTAATGACGAGAAAATCGGTCTTTTAAAAAGACAGGTTGCATCGAGCCGTTAGTGAGGATTGGTAAGAAATTTCTGTTTCAAAATTCATAAAAACTTTTTCTGATCATTTCAAGTTTTGTCTTTTTGAAATTTCTGCATTAAATATAATTATATTTTATTTCTCGAAAGTTCCATTGAAGTTGGAAATTTCAAGCTTTCATCTCAAAACGATTCTAGAAAGATGTCTCTTTTTTTTTCTAACAGTCGAAAGTTCTCAAACAGAAAATTTACTCGCGTTTAAGCTTACTTTTACTTAATTGTCACAGTCCTCAAACTGCCGTCAGCAACAAATGAAAAAGCAAAAAGGAACGGCTAAAAGACAAAAATAAATAATACTTTCGTATTGCGACGAAAACAGGCGCTACTTTCGGCAGGCAATCGAATAGAATCGATAGAACGGGCGACTCGAAAGTGCCGTCGTTCAACTGACGGTAATTTATTTGTAATGATTTGCTTTTACCTGCGTATGAGTATTACAACGGTGGTGATTACAGCGGCAAGGAATACGAAACCGCCGAAGACACCCAAGGCAATCACCGCGCCTAGATTTAATTTCGCTTGATGAGTGTTACTCGACGACTGGTCGGCGTTGTCCACCCTGTACGGTCCAGATGGTTCAGGGACACCGGTTCCAATGCCAACCTGTGCATTGTCCACTCCACTGCCGGAGATCTCGTTGTCCTGAGGATGATCGTTGCTGTCGTCGTTCAAGGGCGGCGACGAAGACGGCGCAGGCCTCTGAAGGCCGATGTTCGGTTTCCTCGCGATGGTTTCTCGAACCGTCGCCGGTAATTCGGCAGTGCTGGACACTCTTCGTGGTGGCACAGGGGTGGTCGTGGTTGTGGTCGATGAAATCGTTGTGGTTCGGACTCGTGGTGGTAAGAATGTGTGTCGGGTTCTGCTGGTCGTTGATCGCACCGTTGATCGGGGAGGTGCGGTCACTGTGGTACGCGGCTCTTCTGTAATATAATGTAAAGATATTTTGATAAGTGTTCGAATATAGTAATAACAGTATAATTTAAGTAATAATATAATTTTATAGTAATAACAGTATAATTTAAGTAGTATTATAATTTAAGTAACAATATAATTTTATAGTAATATAACAGTATAATAGTAATTTTATAGTAATATAACAGTATAATTTAAGTAGTAATATAATTTTATAGTAATAACAGTATAATTTAAGTAATATTATAATTTAAGTAATAATATAATATAATTTTGTTCTCGAATATTAATTGTTTGTGAAATTACGTACAATGTTCCGACACATTATTACTGTAAATATAGTCACAATCGTTTGTTTCAAAGTTTGCATTTTTATTCAAACGTTTATTAATAATCGGTTGATTATCAATTTTTCGAATTTCTGCAAATGCATACGAGTGAGTGAATTTAAATTGTAAATGTGAAATAAAGATTACACATACCTGTACAGGTGGGTGCGACATGATCGTACAATCCAGTAGGCAAACACAGTATTTGTCGGAAGCCGGAGAGCCTGTAACCTTTCTCGCAAGTATAGGTAACGATACTACCTACAAGAAGGCTTCGACTGAAGTTCGTCTTCAATGGTACTGTCTCGGTTTCGTCGATCTCGTCGATTTGAATGTAACTGTGTGGAACAGGTGTAGGAGGATCACAGAGAATCGGCTCGCAACGTGGTGGCGGTCCGTTCCAGCGCTCGTCGATGTCGCACGTCAATCTTGCACGACCTGTCAATCGAAATGAATTATTTCTCGAAAAACAAATTATTAGTTAATTGCAATTTATCGAGTGAACTATGTACAGTATCTGTATAATGTTGAACTAATAAAAAAATGAAAGAGCCATGCTCTGTAGCACCACTGCGTATCTTCAGTCACCTACTTCAACCAATCCATTACCAATCTCTAAAAATTTCGATCAATTTCAAGCGATTCTACAATCAGCTGCGAAATCAGGAAGAGGGTCAAGAAAAACTATACAACATCATCGCTATGTTTATCAGCGACATGCTCTTACCAATTTCCTTCGGAACGGCGAAGCAGAACGTTTCAACAGAACGTGTATCTAGACGTATCACTCGCAAACGATGGCCATTTATCAAAGAGCGAGGAAATAATGGCTAGCGCCACGATAAATTCTTACCAGTCATCTCGTATCCCTCGTCGCACGAATAAAGCACCTGACTGAGATAGCTAACGGTATTGTTGATAAGTGTGTAGCCTCCGTGTTTTATGTTTGCTGGATAACCGCACTCGATGCCTGAAACATACAGAGGGATTGTTGAATTTAACATCGGCGAGGGACGATCGTATATGGTTCACCGAACGCTTCTAATCTCTTCTAATCTCTTACTTTTGCACACCGGTGGAAACTCGTTGTAGAAGCCAGTGTCGAGGCAGGTACGAGTCGACGGCCCTATAAGAAGACTGCCGGCGTTACAAGTATATTCCACCGTTGCCCCGACTTCGTACGCGCTTCCGGAATTTCGATCTGTTATCGTGGTCACTGTCATCGTGGAGTTCGGGGGTTGCTCCGGTCGACCGCACGCTCGTGGTTCTGGAAAGCACGCGAAAATCCGTTACTTTCTTTTCACTCAAGGAAAAAAAAAAAAAAAAAATAAGCCCAACGACAAAGTTGATAGATCTTGGTGTGTGAATTGCATGAAACTTGTAAAATAATTCATATTCATTCGCCACTGTTTACTGTGCTAATTAAGCAAACAAAATGGATCAGTACGTTATATCACGTAAAACTGAATTTTAAAAATATATGTGAACAGTATATTTCATTATATATGGTATATGGTATGTTTAATTATACATGGTATTTAACAGCATATTTATATATGAACATATTTATATATGGTATGGTAGGAGTATATTTAATTATATGGTATTTAACAGTATATTTATATATGAATAATATATTTAATTATATACCGTTTAATTATAACGGTATATTTAATGGTATGGTATGAGTATGTTTAATTATATGGTATATAACAGTATATTTATATATGGTATATTTAATTATATAGTATTTAACAGTATATTTATGCGTATGAGTATATTTATATACGAACAGTATATTTAATTATATGGTATATGGTATATTTAATTATATGGTATTTAACAGTATATATATGTGAGTACATTTATATATGGTATGGTATGAGTATATTTAATTATATGGTATATAACAGTATATTTATATATAACATGGTATATTTAATTACATAGTATTTAACAGTATATTTATGAGTATGAGTTTATATATGAACAGTATGAATATATTTATATATGAACAGTATATTTAATTATATGGTATATGGTATTTAACAGTATATATATGTGAGTATATTTATATATGGTATGGTATGAGTATATTTAATTATATATACAGTATATTTATATATAGTACGGTATATTTAATGGTATTAAATTTTTATTTATATGGTATTTAACAGTATATTTAATTTAGTTGAATTTTAAATATATGTATACAATATATTTAAAAATATATATGAACAATATTTACTACTTGTCAGGAAGATGATATACATCATCACTGTATCGATAATTCGATAGTAATGGAAGAATAGTTGGTACTCACGGTGTTGACAGATGAAATTCAACCGAGCTGTGCAAGGTGTATCGGACCAAAGCCATCCTCTACTACCATCGTATCGAGCACAGTCTTCCTCGGTGCCTTGAGGCAGACTCCAGAAAGAAACGGAGACCTCTTCGCCGCTACCTGTCCACCTCCACACCGTGCGATCCTTTTGATCTCTCACTGCGCCCATCCAGTATTGACTCGAGGTATCACTCCTTTTCAAAAAAGAAAAAAAACAAAAAAAGAATTCAATCAAAAGTAGGCAAAAGATATGAAACACAGAGGTAAATAATTGATAAGAATTCTACCTGTGTCTCCTCCACAATTCCCACGAAATGAACCCTTGCAACGCTGGATTGCTTTCGTCCACTAAGGTACCACCTCGCGCACGACAGAAGGCCAACGCCTCCCTGAATATCAGCGGCTGCCGATTATAGAATATGTAACATTTTCCATTGTAGGTCGCTGTCGAGCCTGGTGGCTGGTCTCTAAACTGCGGACACCTCTCGATGGGAAGGGCCTGTACAAAAGAATCAACCACGGTCCTTTTAACCTCTTGCGAACTGTGCTGGCGAACTGGTTCGCGGACCATAACGAGTGACCGAGCCGTATACAATAATTCGTCGATTTCTTTTTCTTTTGAACTCGTCGGTACGACATCACTGGATAGAAATTATTGAGAAGTAATGAACTTATCATTTGTTTTGCCTGGGTTACACTCAAATACACTTGAAACTGAGAAAACGTTGCAATTTTTGGACAAAATGTTCTCGACGTGCGTGGTCGAAAAAAAGATCCGGATAACACAAGGAGGAATCCGTAATCTAAATAAGACTGTTCGTCGAACTCGTTCTTGAGATTTTTCACAATAACATTTCATTTTCATACAATAGGAGATGGTACCTGATCGGTGTACACGAAAGCCTCGCATAACGAGAGTTGTACTGGAATTGGTGCCGGCGTGTTTGCTTCCAAGTGTACGGAAACGAAGGCTCCAGGCATTGGCGGATTGCAGGGTAAGAAAAGAGGTTGCCCTTCTTCGAGGGGGCCGGTGAAACGATTGCAAATTGGATTCGTTCCCAGGTCCGGCCGATTGTTTCCGACACGAACAACGATCGTTCCAGGCATACCATCGCCTGCAATCAGAGAACGTGTGAAGAATTTAGGCTCGGTTACTTCGCGAGTGATACGAAGCTCAGAATCGGAAATTGTCTTCCTCGGACAATTTGAAGCCAATTTGAAAGACGAAGCGAAGCAAGTAACAGCAACGCCGTTATTTTCTTGTAATAATAACAATTTCGTTGACTCAACATACGGAAGATCGAGTTTTACCAGTTTGCCTCGGCAATCGATTTAATTTTCATCGGTCTAAGTCTCTGATCGAACACAGAATCGGATTCTACATAACATGAAAATTAAATAATAGTATGAAATTTGTAAACTCGACCAGAACGAATAAAACTTGCATCATCTGAGGAAAAAACGATAGGAGAGTACAACGATATTAAGATAATAAAATGTATTATTTTGCATATATTTCAGAGACAGTCACGTGTAGAATGCAGTTCGAATCGATCGCGGGCTTTCACTGGCGGCTCGAATTGCTATCCTGCCTCGGTAAATTGCGAACATAGCGTTTGAACGGATAAAATCATCTGAAATAATCCGGTGCCCGGCAAGGACTACATCTTCCGACCTGGAAAGCATTTCAGGTGTGACCAGATGGACGAGTCGCTGCCGAGTACGTAGCCAGCAACTCCAATTACATGCTTTCCACGTTTCGTCCCTTGTAATCGTCTTCGAAACAGCGACAATTTCTTGTTTGCATAAAAAAAAAAAAAAAATAGGTATCCAGCCGGAGAAACTTCTCGAGTCATTCCGCCACGATATTAGAAAACCGCGTTTCTAATGATCCAGCGACAGTTGCAGCTGCTTTTAATGTTGCTCAACATTTATATATTTATTTATTTGATTATATTATAAATATTAATATTATAAATATGTATAACTTTTGATTATGTTATATAATATCGCATATAATAATATTTAATTTGTATTTATTATTATATATTTAATATATTTAATATCAAATTTAATATATATTATAAATTTAATGTATAATATATTTAATATATTTAATATCGCATTTAATATATATTATAAATTTAATATATAATATATTTAACATATTTAATATCGCATTTAATATATAATATATTTAATATATTTAATATCGCATTTAATATATATTATAAATTTAATGTATAATATATTTAATATATTTAATATCGCATTTAATATATATTATAAATTTAATATATAATATATTTAATATATTTAATATCGCATATAATAATAATTAATTTGTATTCATTATTATATGTTTTATGTATCATTATAATATCATATTACAAGATTGTATAATTATTATAAAATATACAATATATAATTATCATATTGTATTACAAATTAAATATTTATTTAATTCAATAGTTTGCTTTGAATTTGAATATAAGCGAAAACATGAAATATAGAAAAATGAAAAAATTTTATTCCAAAATTTTTAGGCATTTTCTATTTCCATTTTTTGAAAAATTTCAAGCAAAGGTAGAAAACTGAAAATATGATTTAGAAAGTAATTAAGAAAGAGACAGATGATATTATTAAAAAAAAAAACAAAATAGATTCCCTAATTAGAGAACTATTGCAGGTTTCATAAGTGAATTGATAATTATGTATGGAAACCATTAAATTGCACACCACTCTGAATCTAGTTAAAAAAATTCAAAGAAGAAAGTAAAATGATAATTGAGTTTAAACATATAACTAAAAGATCAAATCTTTCGGTAAATATTACTCAATACTTCCTTGTTTCTTTGAGAAAGCGATTCTCGTAACACAAAAAGGAGTTTAAGTTTAATCGAAATAAAAATCTAATCTGAGTCGAAAAATACTTATAGTCCAAATTTTTCTATACTTCTCCCGTGTGTAACGTGTAAGAGTACAAATCAAACAGTATTATTAAACGACTATCAATTCAAAATATAATCCTTTTTTATAATAATGAAGAAGAACACTGCACTACATATCGGTTCATGCGTTGTGTTAGAGTTACATATTACAAACGCATGGTGAAGCTATTTTTTTTTTTATCTCTTCCTTATAATGCGCGTAAAGACACATGTCATTTTTGTTCGTTGTCATTAATACAAAATTTAATACCAAAAATATTGTTAGAGCTATCATCTTTGTTATAATATTTTAAATTTAAGGGACGCACACTCTCGCTGAAGAAGCTTAGAACAAACATTATATTTGTTTCAGAATTTAAAAAATTCAATAATATTTTACAACAACAAAGAATAAATATTTGTTAACAAATGTTAATATATTAACAAATCGTACTGTGAGATGTAATTGAAAGATTTGATCGTCAATAATATTAAGTATTAAAAATTGAGAAATATTAAATATTAAAATAATACTTATTAATAATAACAAGAATTATGAAAAATATTAATAAGTATTAAAATAATACTTATTAGTAATAACAAGAATTATGAAAAATATTAAATATAAAATAATAAAATATAAAATATATAAAAATAATATACAAAAATATAAAATACAAAAAATATAATATATAAAAATATAAAATAATAAAATATAAAATATAAAAAATAAAATATATAAAAATGTAAAATACAAAAAAATATAATATACAAAAATATAAAATACAAAAAATATAATATATAAAAATATAAAATAATAAAATATGAAATAACAAAGTATTAAAGATTAAAAAAGAAAATGTCCTAAGATTCCTGGGCGAGAGTGAATGTTTCGAAACTGACTGTAGTTCCTAAGGTCTGAATACTCTCGACCGCTGGCATACGAGTAGTTAACGATCCACCGATTATATACTTTCGTTAAGTTTCTGTTATGCGTGCGCAAATTGCGTGTTATCCCAAAAAACAACAACACGATTCGAGGAAAACACGTCCTTTTTAAAACCGATCCTCAGTCACGAGTCAGCTAATATTCGTACGTGACGATAATCTTCGACGTTTCGCCGGTGAACGCGCGTCGACCGTAATTAAATTGATTGATATTTTACAAGAAGAGGCAACTTTCACGCGACTCGTACCGATAGCGAACCTGTTAGCAGGGCGTTTTAATTACGAACGAGATCGGCTATCGTTCACCACTTGGCGAGCCTGCTCGCGTTTCCGGCAGAAACACGACGCCATCGTTCTGGCATAACTCATCGTGGATCGTGTATGTTCTTGCATTGGCAAGTGCGAAACGAACAACTTCCTTGATGATAGACACGAAGTGTTCGTTTTTATTACAAAAGTTAAGAAATTAATAGAGTTTTGCAGTGAACGAATAACGATGAAATATTTGTCGATACTTTAAAACGTATTCATTTTATAAGAAAGGATCGTGTAACAATATAATTTATCTCATTCTGAAGCGTGAAGCTTTTACTTTGATTTAGAGTCTTGTTGATTGTTTTCTTCAAAGATGTTTTTGTAGCATGGTCACGTAGCGGGTGCGGAAATAAGAAAGATACTTCTATTCAACCAAAAATGTTGGAAATTTTTTTTATCACCAGATCCACTGTGGTTTTGGGGATTAAAGTTTCCCCTTCAAAACTTGCTGTACGATATTTTTCTCAGTATTTTGTGGAACTCTGAACGACGAAACATTAGAGTTTCTTGAATTTTTGTCATTTAATTCTAACATATGTAAAGTTGAATAAACCGGTGAAAAAAGATCGTGCAGCAAGTTTTAAAAAATTATTTGTAAAGGAGAAACTTTAATCTTCAAAACCACGGTGGATCCAGTAGAAAAAAAAAATTCTTCGGTGTTTTTTAAAGATGTTTGAATCTTTACAATTTTCGAGAACAAAAATATTCTCATTTCCAATTTATAAAATTAAATGAAACATAATTTAATAATTTTATAAATAATCTAATAATTTAATAATTTAATAAATAATCTAATAATTTAATAATTTTATAAATTTATAAAAATTAATAAAATTACACATAAAAAAAATGTAAATAATGTAAAAAAAAATCTCTGAAAAACATCATCAAAGATGTTTCACATGATTCAAATCACCTTTAAGATCACTAGTAGTTTAGCGTGCATTTTATATTTTCATTACATCTACATTGCTATTATAATCCATAGTTTCCTTAATAAATGAACGAGACAAGTATAAAGTACAAGTAAAGATAGTTAACAATTGAAGTTAATGAATATCACTTGAAGAAGAACAGGAAACAAATAACAAAGTAATTTTGAAAATTACATTTAATTGTTGATAAAGTACTGTTCACGCGTTATTATACAATACGACTGGTCTGATGCACGGACTGTTGCCTCGTGAAAGGATGAAAAATTATTTTTTTAAGGAAGAAAGCAGCGAATTCATTCCAAGAATAACAGAGCGGCTACTCTCACTCTTTATTTCCGTACAAGCAGCACGTCTGGCGCTATTATCAAGCATTTCGTTCAACGGTGAAAGTTTTCCCTTGTTTGATCGGTTGTACAGACTGCTATTACATTTAACAATAAGCAAATCTATTCTTTGTGAGCGATAAAATTGCGGAACTTGCTACAACAACGGACGAGATAAATGGAAACGTAAAACTCTAATGACACGTCGCGAAAGAAATTTCTGGCAATATTGTAACAAAAATCATCAAGCATAACAATAGAATGAGAGCTGAACACTTTAAAAAAATTGTAGCCAATTTGCTTTCATAATAAATATACTGCGGATGTTTAAGCAAGTGAATATTTTTATATGCACATTTTCATTATTTTCCTATTATTCGTCATTATTTGTCTATTATTTATAAATATCGCGAATCCATTTAGGTGTGACAATAGAAAAGAAAACAATGCTTTGAATGTAAAGTAAACAGTTTGAATTAAATATAAATTTTCAATAAATAATTAAAAATAATTCTTCAAATGTGAGTTCTTAAAAGTAATATATTCTTATGAGTAATGATATTCTTATAATTATAAATATTATATGTATTAATATAATATAAATTATAATTATAAATTATAATTATAAACATTATATGTGTTATTATAAATATTATATATATTAATATAATATATTACAAATTATTCTTATAATTCTTATAAGTGATGAGATAATTCACTTAATAAAATTTGGATATGTACTGTTGAAAAACATTATATATTTTATGGTAATTAAATGGCACTTTCTATTTAAAAGAGTGTGATTAATGGTAACGATAGAAAACGTAAAATGATATCGTGTCATTTAAATGGGCCGTAAAATCCGCTTGTAAATCCGCACGTCATTTTTCTTTCCTCTCTTCTCGTTGCTCTTGATGGCGCGCGCCAGAACTTTTAGAAACTTTTCGATACGACAGTAAGAGTCTTTTCACTTTTTATTGCTAGAAAACGATTTCACTCGTCTGATCAATTGTTCTTCGTGCGTACGTAGTTAACTCGATCTAGAGCTATTGTAAATTAGCAAAACAAATTGACATCTCCATTTTCATTTAGGCTTTACGTGCTTGGTTTTATTACTTGAAACTAACACGTTTTATTACACTAAAATTAACACACGTTCGTTTCGCTTTAATTTCACTGTTATCATAATTAAGTTAAGTTTTACAACATGAAATCGAAAAGAAAGATGGAAAGAAATCAATCAACATACCTGCTCAAAAGCTATTACTTATTTGTTTGAAAATTGAAAAAAATTAAATAGTCTATCATGCAACGAAAAATCTACGAAATGTTAATATATTATAAAATACTTCTGTGATTAAAGAATTTTATCACCCGCCATAAATATTGGATATATAAGTGAATAATGTTTTAAGTCGATTGGGCAGTAGCATGTGCATTTCCTTAACTCTCTTTTTTTATCATATTACGTCCATATTTTTTATTTCATTATATCATTTTTATTTCATTACGTTATTTATTTTTCTTATATTATTTTAATTATATTATTTATTATATTATTTTACAATATTCATTATATTATATTATTTTCTATTTTATTATACTATATATTACATTATACTAGTATCACACAGATAATCTGAGATGTTCAAAACAATGAGATATTAAAATACATTGAATAAATATATCGAAAGCATAAATGTTTTAATGTTCTTACAATTTTCGAGAAAAAGAAGAATCACTCCCACTTGCCATATAATGAAAGAACAAAGTCAATCGCTGTATGATCTTCTCTTACCAAAATTATCTCAGTTTAAATTATCTACGATGTTTTATCGTTACTGATACTGTCATGCTCTTCATCTGAGATGAATGCATTTTTCACTTCTCACATACTCCCGGATTCGGTGGATTAGATTTTCATGATATTTCAATTACACTTCCCTCACACTGGAATATCTCTCAATTTAAGGACGATCGATAATCACGTTCGAAGCGAGGCACAATGGCCTGGTAATTGTAGTAAAAGATAAAATCTACAGCGGCCATGAATGAAAGTGTCGATCCGGCGCGGCGTTTACGCTAACGGTGCATTTCATGCTCGTTCCTTGTTCGTTATTACGCTCGCCTCCGGGGTATCGGATCGCGAAAATTTTCGCTCGCAAAGGGCCCACCATTATGCCCGTAATTGCTGGCGATGCCAATTTTATCGATGGAAAGTCACCGGGAGACCGCGCCACTGAAACGAAAGTGGCGTTCCATCGTCTTTAAGAGGATTAAACTCCACTAGATCGCGCCAACTATCAGCTCTTTACGCCCTCTGATCGCCTTACATCAACCAGTGATTTGTTCTTAATCCTGACGTGAAATTCTCACAGAATCATTTCCACACGATCGCGTTCTATTTTTCAGAGAGGAAAAACTTTCGAGCAAGATGGCGAAACGAGGAAACGCGCGCGACGGTCAATCGTCTGTGAATAACTTTTTCAATTTATCAAGTTTTCAGAGAGTCGTGTGTTTTGAATAGTCGTGCGTTCATTTATCTGTGTCTTTACTGTTGCTTTCTATGCTTATTTTTGTCTCTGTATTTTTGTTATATCATTTACGCGTAATTAAAATTTATTTATGTGTAATATATTTAAAAATATTTACGTTTTATCTATATTAATATTTATGCAATATTTGTAAAATATTAAAATATTATATAAATATTAAATAAATTACATTAATATTTTATGTAAAATATTAAAATATATTTACATATATATAAATATTTTTAAAAAATATTAAATTTATATATAAATATTTTCAAAAAATTATTATATTTATATATTTTAATAAATATTTTTAAAAAATATTATATAATATATTTTAATAAATATTTTTAAAAAATATATTTTAATATTTTAAAAAAATATTTTATATAAAATATTAAAATATATTTACATAAATATTAAATAAAATACATTAATATTACATAAATATTTTATGTAAAATATTAAAATATATTTACATATAAATAAACTTATTACTATATATTGTATATTGTATATAAATATATTACATAGTTTATTTATATTATTTTTATACCATAAAACTTTACTAGTACATTAATAATTCAAAACATTACGGACAAGTATTTATTTTATGAAATAAATAATCATCATTTCGTAAAAAGTAGCCAATTATCATCAATTATTACAGTAGTATTATACACCAGATAATTATAATATTACTCACCACAGCATGGTTTACCAAAGTCAAGCCGCACAAGTTGCACCATGTAAGGCTCGAGTAAGTTCACGTACCACCAGGGCCTGTGTTCTGGCCTTGTAAGGGTGCAGGTTTGTGGAGTATAAATTTGTCCACTGCTACCATCGACAGCCCGTTGCGGAATTCCACCCTCTGAGCTGCTCGACTGCATGGGTGCTTTACCTCCAGCAACGTTCAGTACTGCGATAAAAGATAAAAATTGAAATTGAAATCATTTTCGCTAGGAAAATATAATATAAGTATATCCTTCCCTCATTTACGCGGGTTATCACGATTCTTCACAAAAAGAATTAATAATAATATATTATTTAACAATAATAATAATATATATAAATTATTTAATAATAATAATAATAATATATATAAATTATTTAATAATAATAATAATAATAATATATAAATTATTTAATAATAATAATAATATATATAAATTAATAATAATAATATTAAATATTTAATAATAATAATAATTCACCAATATAAAAGAAGCCGATTCAACTCATAAAAGTTACTCATTTCAAATTTATTTTCACAGAAGAATCGATGAAATAATTGTATGTTAGTATTCTTTAGTTTCCTACAAAGAGTAATTATCAATAATAGAAGGAAAAACAGAATCACGACTGTATATTAAAATTTCAAACTAATCCTTTCAAAAGGCAAATGTGCATATCATCGAGTCAGTCAATGACTTGTAAACCAGAGTACATAATAATTTTCGTAAAGCACAAAGAAAGGGTTGAAGAAGATCTGTCTGAAGAACTTCTGATAAAATAACAAACCACGAGACACACGACAGGAAGTGGGTACAGATTAGTCTTTTCTTGCGCATTCCACGTACGGTTTCTTACAATCATAGTTGCGAAACTGCTTGCGTCGCGCATTGCCTCGCCCCAATTGCGGTACTCGCGACACGTGCTCACGATGTGCAAAATGTCGTTAACCACCAACTCATGAATAGTTATCACAGGCTCTGGTTAACTGTCTTAAAACTGGTTATACTTGACTTGAATCCGTTGACGATTATCCAGCGATTAGATCGTTTATTTGTCAAATTAGATCCACTTAATGGTAACAGCAATTAAAGTCGGAGATTGATTTACGCTACTACGCTAATTCACGCTGATCGTCGATTTTTTTAAAATTCTAATTACATTTCGTCGAATGTAATTTTTGAGTAATTTTTGTCGGTAGTTATTAAAATTATAAACGTTTTCTAAATAATAATTTTTATACAATTTTTTTTATATAATATTATAATATAAAATATAAAATATATATAATATATAATATAATTTATAATTTTTTATATAATAATTTTTATACAATTTTTTTTATAATATTATATATAATATTATAATATAAAATATAAAATATATATGATATATAATACATTTTATAATTTTTTTATATAATAATTTTTATACAATTTTTATTATAATATTCTATATAATATTGTAATATAAAATACATAATATACATAATATATAATATAATTTATAATATAATATGTAATTTATAATTTTTTATATAATAATTCATATAATACATCTCTGATGGACGAGCTAGAATTATCAGTTTTTATCAGAAAATCATTTTCGTGTTCGAACCGTGAAATCAGACATATTAGATTTCGATTCGTGAAAATGAAGAATCCACGTTTCTCGATACTTCAGAATCACGCTGTTTGAAAATGATACATCGTCTTTTGAAATTGGACTTATACTCCTTTACCCGGCTGTCAGAGAGACACGCGTGTAATCAAATTATTATTGCATATCAGTTACAATTGCGAATCAATGTTGTAATTCGATTATCAATATCCTTTGGATCAACGATACTTTGAATGTTCGAAACTCGAACGTTTGACGATCGTGTGAACGCAAACTCCAAGCCAATTAATCCGTGCAAGGTTTAATCCGCGATTAACTGGCGCGTCATTGTTATCGAAGGGCGAGGGGAGGTAGCGACAAGGTTGTGAGAAAATCTCGACGGCTCATTGCCATTCCCATTAGAATAAAAAAGAAGGTCGGGCACGAGGCAAATTGCACGGGTGAACAGCCGTCCGGTACGCAGATATGCTGTTCGGAAACTTTTGTGTAGACCGAGCGGTGCACATTCGCAAAGAAGTTACCGGGCTTGCGGTAGTTTTACTGTACCGTAACGTGAGAATTTTATCGGCGCTAAAACTGGCATTGCCTCGATCTTGGTAAGTTCTCCACGCGCGTACACACGCACGCACACACACACACACACGCGCACACACACAGACACACGGCGATGTCGAAACGAGATCGCCACTTTTGCCGCGTGTCTACTCGTCATCCTGGTTAACCCTTGCAAGATCATTTCTATGATTCAGCCTCTTCAGCCAGAAGTCAGTTCTGCCCAACTTTATTCTTTATTAATTCCTCAATTTCGTTACGTCACGTTCAGCGCACGGTCACGACTGAATTTTAATTTCGTAAAATTATTCGTAAATTCAAATTCAATTAGAAGCGTTGAAGCTTTTTTTCTTTTTATTTTTTTCATAACTAAATCTAGCGCGATGTTGAAGAATTGGAATCTCGCCTTCACAACGACTCTACAAAAACTTGCTGCACAAGTTTTCTTCGCCATTTTAGCGGACTCTGAATATTAGAATTAAATTAAATTCTAATATTTAATGTCTGATAATTATATTTTAATTCTAATATATATTTTAATCTAATAATTATATTTTAATTCTAATGTATATTTTAATCTAATAATTATATTTTAATTCTAATAATTAAATTTACTCCTAATATTTAACCACTTGCGTTGGCAACCGATTGCGGACCATAACGAGTGACCATGTCGTATCAATAATCCGTCGCTTTCTTTTTGAACTCATGTCGATATGATATCACTGGGTAGAAATTATTAATAGCGGAAGTAATAAATTTATTATTTGTTTTGTCTGGGTTATACTTAACATTGAGAAAATATTACAAGAGTCCAATAAAATGGCGAACAAAAATAACAAAGCTTCAATGTTTCGTCGTCTAATGTTTAAAGTTCAATGAAATTGCTGAGGAAAAGATCGCATAGTAAGTTTCGAAAGGTTCATTACAAAGAAAAAATGTCAATCTCCAAAACCATGGCGAATATAATTACAAAAAGAGTTTTTCAATGTTTCTAGATGCGTTTGAATTTTTACAAGAAAAAGGATGAAATGATTTTCGTGTAAGAACATCATTGGAAAGAAAAACAAACTTAAGACTATTAAAGCAGAGGTTTTGGGCTTTAAAATCAAACTAAATAATTGCTAGAAAATAGTATGAAACAATTAAGTAAACGTAAGTAAAATTAACATAGTATAAATCATAACTGTAGTACGTGAATAAAAATCGTAATCGTTTTGTAAAAACTTCAAAACGCCTGTTTTGCTTCATGCCATCAAGGTTAATCCTAATCGACGTCGCTAATTTATTTAGATATCAGCAACAATAAGTCATAGTCGAAACCAGTGTCGCAATGAAATCGTTTTAATGGAATTTTTAGTGAGAAAAAAGATGTTAAATTGATGATATTCAAGAAGACTATGATTTTAAATATATTAAAATGTTAAAGTAATGACCTACTAAAATTGAATGAATAATATCTCAACATTGATATTCAAAATAAAATTCTCCAGTGATTTGAGTTCCATGTTAAGCAATGTTTAAATACCGAATATCATTGAATATCTATTTATAAAATTCTTTCGTAAGAAAGAGGATAAAAATAAATGTCTTGACGTTGAGTACTGTTCAGTCATTGTTTCGTGATAAAATTTTTACGGATTCACAAGTACAACCTGTTACCACGACCTTATAATATATGCTTGCAGAACAATTGAAAGATGCTTGAATGAGACAGCAAATGCATTGTGCAGACGACATCAGGAAACATTGTTATAACGTTACCTTGCACATACTGTGAGCCGTGAATTTCAGACTGTGCTTCTAACTGTTGAATTCTTTAATATTGCAAATAAAAATCTGTGAGTTATAATTATAATCTAATTATATTGTGGCATGATAATTTAATAACTGTCTTGAGTTATACTTTTTAGATAAATCAATGCACGTTTGAGAACCATAAATTTCTGTCTTAAACACTTTATAACAACGACAGTTTTAGTAATAAAAATAGATTACAATTAAAAACAAAATATATACATAATTGACTATGAGATGACATATCAAACAAGGTAAAATTCCGCAAGTTTATGCAAGATTGTTATTTTTGCACGTGAAGGGAATCAAGAAAGGAAATTTCATCTGTGCAGGCACTATAAAGAGACGAACAAGGCTCTCCTTGAACGCTTTTCTAAATTCAGTCATTGCGAATGCTGGTCTGTTTCTTACGTACCAATTTCCAAATGAAACAACCAGACAATCATCTATCTCCTTTGCTTGACGATACACTTTGCAATAGTATGTAACAAAATATAACAATGCTTAACAGAAGTTCGTCAAAGTTCATAATACAGAAAATACATATATGATTGAAAGTAATACACACACGCTATTGAATATAGAACAATTATAATTGAACTTACTAACATAAAACGTACAAAAGTATAATTGTCTAATAATCTATAATAAAATAATATTATAATTGTCCAATAATTTGTAATAAAATAAGATACATAAAATAGTATAATTGCCTAATAATCTATAATAAAATAATATTTTATAAAATGTAAAAAAGTATAATTGTCTAATGATCTATAATAAAATAATATTATAATTGTCCAACAATTTATAATAAAATAAGATACATAAAATAGTATAATTGCCTAATAATCTATAATAAAATAATATTTTATAAAATGTAAAAAAGTATAATTGTCTAATGATCTATAATAAAATAATATTATAATTGTCCAACAATTTATAATAAAATAAGATACATAAAATAGTATAATTGCCTAATAATCTATAATAAAATAATATTCTATAAATATTCCTATATATATAATAAAACAATATTCTATAAATATTCCCATATATATAATAAAATAATATCCTATAAATAAATTCCTATATATATAATATCATAATATTCTATAAATATTCCCGTATATATAATAAAATAATATTCTATAAATATTCCTATATATATAATAAAATAATATTCTATAAATATTCCTATATATATAATAAAATAATATTCTATAATATTCTATAAAATAATCTATAATAAAATATTATTCTACAAAAACTATAATTGTCTAAAAGCTATCGCTGTATACTACTCATTGTTCTGCCGTTTATCGCTAACAACGAATTAAATAATCTATCTTCAAACGCTAGATAATCAAATCTATCGCTCAAAAATCAAATTTAACAAATTGAAAGATGAATTGCTTAACAGATATCTTGTCGATTCGAACAACCAGTGACTTCATTTAAATTCAATAGACGAATGATTCAAGATCGAGCGCGTGATCGTGAATATTCAGGGTGGCGTGTCGATGGCCAAGCCAAGGAATTCGAACATTTGGAGCATTCGAGCAACCAGCTTTGAAAAAGCAACTGATCACGAAGTCGATCTACATTCCATCCGGGCGCAGAACGCGCGATCGACCTAAACCCACATACCGATTCCTTTGAGCTTTGGCGTACACGTCGCGCACGCGTTCCCACACGCGTGGATACGTCATATAATTTACAGTTACCTCTTACGCGGATTATTGCGAAAGGTTTCATCTCCGCTGTCGTGCTATTCAAACACGTTAGATCGAACAAAACGATCAACGTGACGCATGTTTCAGCGTGTGTCAGCCTATGTACAGAGAACGATAATGTGGAACGAAAGAGAACGATCGAGAGGCTTTCAGGCTGTTCGAGACTATGGCAATACGTTTATTGTTACAAATTCACTTCCTTGGACGTGAATACACCAGCGTCTTCCTGTTTCTTTGTTTAGGGGGATTCGTTTTTTTTCTTTTTTTTTTTTAATTTTAGGTAGTGCACGTGATACATGGTGTAAATTACAAATAAACGAAGACTATAGAAGAAAATTATTTGTATATTATTATATATAATTATATTTTATATATATTATATATTCTTCGGTTTCAGTAATGCTAGCTAATCTTTCGGAGTAATTTTGACAAGTAAATTTTTATTCTCACTGTAAATGCATGGAGTTTGGAAAGAATGCAGTCCTACTGATTTTTTTTTTCTTTTTTTTTTTAATGTAGTGTAATTGAAAAAAAGGAACGAACAATCAAGTTCAATAATATAGAAAAAGATAACACGATGACGTTTCATGAAAGAACGAAATTACAACCAACAATTCCTGACATGTTCAAGAAGGTGGCAAGAATGCCACGGATAATTAACTGTTTACAAGTAACGAATTATCAGATCTAGGTAATTAAATGCAAGTCAATGTAATTAAAAGGTAATTAACTGCCTAAGAAAGTGAAGAACCATCTTTCGTGTATAATTGATGGTACTAAAAAATTCATTAATTATAAAGCAAGAGAGCTCGAATGAGTTAAGCAATACTCTTAAAATAATATCCAGTTTATACGAAAGTATGCATAAAGATATACACGTATACAATTATATATCACAAAGATATTTCTTTTGTTATATTAAGTGTTATGTTTATTACATGAAGGTTTGAACTTATACGAGCATCCGCAGGCCAATAATCATCACCACATCACTTTATACACGAATCACGTTTCTGTACATAAGCGATATAGATGCCAAGTAGCATTGAAGCAGTTGAACCATAATTGGTTGATTGTAATTTTTATTAAGCACGTCACAGATTGTTGGTGGTCACGCGTATGCACGATGTGAACGTGTTCTATGGGACGAAATAGGATTAAAGGTGAGTGTTAATCGTAAATCCGCTCATGTGAAATTATAGTCATAGCGAGGATAATCGCGACTCTACGACGTCGTGTATTTTAAGATGATCCAATGCTTAACTACTTGAGAAGATCAAATACATCATTTTATATACATATATATACAAAATATATTATCGAACTTATTCAATAAATTAACTTTTAATCTAATATTATCTTTTATTTTTTGTCAACATAAAATCACATTTATATATTTTTATTTTGCATGTATTGCATTAAAAAGTAATCCATCACCATCTTTTTTACATTGTTACGTTTTTAATATTATTGGTCTCTTATTGGTACATTCATAGCTTCTATATAAAAAATATAATAACAACTTGTTCAATAAATAAATATATATATATATAATCTAATATTATCTTTTATTTTATCAACATAAAATCACATTTATATATTTTTATTTTGCATGTATTGCATTAAAAAGTAATTTTTAATATCATTGGTCTCTTATTGGTACATTCAATAGTTTTTGTATAAAAAAATATAATAATAACTTGTTCAATAAACCAACTTTTAATCTAATATTATCTTTTATTTTATCAACATAAAATCACGTAAAATCACATTTATATATTTTTATTTTGCATGTATTGCATTAAAAATTTTTGTAGTATTGCATTAAAATTTTTGACATCATTGGTCTCGATAGTTTTTATATAAAAAATATATTAGTAAAATCTGAACGAAGGTAGACAGAGAAACAAATGAAAATCATCTGTACGTTAAATAAATGATTGCGAATTATTTCTGTGAAACATGGATCGTGGCAGATTTTACATTTTCAGCTTATTAATGACACTGATTGATGAGAGAATATAATGAAAGAGAATTCAACGAAATGCAAGAATCGACAATACGAAAATCAATATCACTTCTGCTTATGGGTTTCTCACATATTCCTTAATAAATTATCATCTCGCGTTTAACAACAGGAATCAATGGTTTTCAATCGTGGAAAGTGTCACTCGTAAATACAGCTAACGCGATTTTACGATCTCCCCCGTAAGGGGAGAGAAAAAATTTGTCGAAAGCACAAACGGCGTTTAACTCTCGTCATTTCAAAAACGAAGCTTTTAAAGACGATGATTAGTACCTTCACGGATGGAAAGATTGAAAGAAAACAAGTGAAAGTTGGCGTAAAAATTACACAGTGTGACTGGAGATGCAAAAAAAGAACGCGATTTTACTTGATAACTAGAAACGAAACAGCGCCGCGTCAGTGCATTAGCTTTGTTGGAACGCGTTTTGCTCAGACGATTACCATACATCTCGCAGATTTCTTTTGAAATATTACTAGAATTATACTAGAATCGTTTCGTTGCTTTCGAATTTGCTCGAGATGCTTTGAACTTGCAATTCTTGCCCGTTCTCGTAATAACAAGTTTTGCACTCTGCGATTTTTTTGTCTGAGAAATTATTCGTTTTAGTTTCAGTTGTAAGAGGCTTTACACTGCAAAATTCATTTCGCAACGTTGGGAAATTACGAGACTAGAGTAAAATCAAAATCGTTCAATCTGGTGGAAACTTGAACGTCTTTGCAAGAATTATATAATATTGAAAACAAATTCTCATCTTGCAGAATTATCTGTCAATCAGTACAAACTATCATGTGCCTCGAATGTAATAATTTAAATCATGGTCTCATTGTGGTTATTTTCATACGTAATTCTCACATTCGATTCATTATTGCAATTCTTATCATCCTTATGACAATAAGCTGCACTATGAAATTTTTGCCTTGGAAACTATTTATCGAATAAGGGTTTCTTCGTTTTTAAAGTACAATAATTTAACATACTTAGCAGAAGAAATTTTTCTATGCTAAAAAATTAATCTTGCAATGTTGAAAATTACCGCGCGAAACGAATCTTTTTTTAAAAACTGTGAAAACTACTCGAGCGTATTTAAAGCGCTATCGATGGAACGACCGGTGTTTCTTTTTTTCTCTTTTGTCCTTTTCTTCACAGTCAGTACAAATTACGGTATAACCGCGATTACGTATCCAGTTGGCGGTGAACGGCGCAGAAGTTTACCTTCGAAAAGTCAAGTTCACGCATAAGTGCGTAAGTGGCAATCCGCTGTTGCGGTTGGCAGAAAATTACGAGAAACTGCAGTTCAAATGCTAACCTGACCAATTTCCCGCTGAGATTGAATTCGTATCTTCTTCGTCGTTTATTTACGATGGAAACGGGGCCGTGTCAAATTAACCAGTAACCAGTGATTTAACTATACATTTCTTTCAAAAAAAAAAAAAAAAAAGAGAAAAATGGAGATTACGTATAATACATGGTTCGTTTGTCACAAATAGGAATAGGTAATAATAGTGGTTGTTTGATACTGTTACGAGTCTTACTCATAAGTTATATCATTGTTAAATTAACTAGTTCAGTATGCAAAGGATCTACGTTTGTGGTTACGTATGGAGAAAAGTTTACTTTCGTCGACTTTCTGATTTTAATGTTATTTGGTGATTGAGAGACAATTGAGAATGAAAATAATCCGTCAAGATTCAAAGACAATTTTCAAAATCTGATTAATTAATTCATTATCGAGAGAGTTTGATATTTTTCATTGTTAAAGGACTGTTATATTTTTCATTACGTATGGAAAATACGCATAAATATTTCCTGGCTATTGATACTCTAATGACTGGAAGATAGTTGAAATGAAAAAGATATTTTTAATTTCGTAAGAAGTATGAAAATGATGTAAATTTTCTTCGTTAATAATTCAAAGCAATAACTCAAAGCTACAGCTTTCGAAATAAATGAAGTTGAAAAATTGAAAACCTTCATGCTCCAATTTTTACGATCGGTGTTAAGGCAGCGAATAAGTTTTAAACTATCGGCTTCATTGGCCGTTCAGGTCTGCTGACTGAGATCACCAAAGTAGTACGTTTTCACCCGAGTTGTTGTAACACCTTCTAATGAATTTGAAAAATTTAACGCCAATTTGACACCAATATCTAATTGATCATTATTTTCATCCAACTATTGTCTGACTGATGGAAATTTTTATACATTTGTGAGAAATTTAAAGATACTTCCTTTTCTTTCTATTTCTCAAATTTGTAGTTTATTTTAAGTTTGAATTGCCTGACTGATCGATTAAACTGACATTAATCAAAAGTGCTCGTACGTACAGATGTATGAAACGAGAAATGGCGAAACACGTATATAATTGAAAATGGAAGCCAGTCTGATCGTGTGAAATCCTTGAAGCTTCCAGAATCGAGGCCTATGCAATCAATATTCTTCGATGTTTCCGCTTGTAAACGCCATCCTTTCACGAAAGATTTCTAACATTGCATTAATACCGATATTTATCAATAAGATAAATTTAGACTTGATCAAATTTCAAATAAAAATGTAATGATCTTTCTCTGATCTTCTCATAAACGAGATTATTCTTAAATTTTCCATTGTCTTGAAGCGAAATTTTTTTGAAAGATTTTAAAAGATATTAGAGATAAAAATCTATTAAACTACAAATCTTTAATTATTAATTAATACTAAAATCACAATTTAAAAAATAAAATTATATAAATAAATTTGTAGTTTATTCCATAAATTTTTTATATAATAAAATTAATTAAATAATAATATTTAATTAACTACTATTATAATAAATTTATTTTTTAAAAAACTAGATATTAATACATTTAATTTCTAAATATATATTTATTTTTTTTATTTTACAAATCATTCACTTGCGAGACAATTAAAATTATTAAAATTAATTAATTAAGCCTGATACGAAAGGTACAAAATAAATTTTACTTATTTATTTTTCAAAATTTCATTTTCATTACTTTAAACTATTAATAATATTATTAATCTTTAATTATCTCTAAAATATATTTTTATTATAAAACTTTTAATTATATTAATTTAAAATTTTATATATATATATATGTATAAATAAATTTATATTTTAAAAACCTGTTCCTTTTCGATGATTTTACAACCGTACTCGCGTACAACCGATGCTTAATAGACATCGCTGTTCCTTCTAAATATCAAATACGATATTTGCAATTGAAACAATTTGAAATATCGGCACACGTTCTTCCAACAGACGTACATAAGTTGCAGTTTAGCAACAGAACTACTTTCCACCAGACGCAGACACAACAAATAAGCATCTAGCGATGCTTTATTGATTATTCCCTCTTTAGAGATTTCTAATTTATTTGCGCTAGTCTAGTGATAATTTATAGCCGATTGGTTTAATGGATACTTATTCAACTCGTGGCGTGTAAGCTATAATTAAGTGCTATTTATATTTTAGTCGGTCCAAACAGCCGTTCGGTAACTGTAATGCTCTTGTAATATCTTTTGTAAAAGTCCGCTAAAGGACAATCCTTGTGATCATTGAAGCACATCGGAATCACGTACTTCTAATTCGTGCCATAACGACCCAGATCTTTCACGGTGCTAGTTTGCTTTCCTCGATCATCTATACCGTGATAAATCGTGAATGCCTTCTAGTTTTAGTGTCTGAATGTCTTTTTGTCTAACTTCAAATAGCTACTTATTTGACATAGTAAGGTATATTATTATTATTATTACTATATATTAATTATTATTACTATTATATACTATATTAATTATTTTTTCATAATATTATAATATACTATACAATAATAATAATATTTAATATACCATATAATATAACCCAGTAATATTAATATTAATAATAATTAATAATAATATAATAATAATAATATTTAACATACTACATAATAATAATATACTATATAATCCAGAAAACATACTAAATATGTGGCAGTAAAAGGAATATTAAGGATCCAGTATAGCGATTGTTCACTAAAGGAAGAAAGGAAAACATACTAGAACGTCGGTGTAACCTCTAGTTTAAATATTTAACATTCTACTCGTAAAGCAGTGATGTCACTCAATTACGTGATCCTCGACAGTACGAATGATAATTGTTTGTCAGATGCATTTTCTCTGAAAAAGTCATTAATCTCTTTAAATTACTATCCTAAGCAAGAAGAATACCAAAAGTTACCCTACTCACTTTAATTGGAATCACTTTAATTTGAAAATCCCTTGCGCATTTCCCACAGAAAATGATTTACTCATCTACTCAGATAGCCAATGTTCTACAAACGTTTCAACGTTAAAGAAACTATGTATCTTTGCAGCTTCTGTTTAAAACGTTCGCCACGTTTAATCTATGTTATTCAGGAACGCAATTCTATGCTCCTAAGTAGCGATCTACCTGTCGTAGTTATTCACGCATCAAATTTCTTCGACGACCTTTTACCGTGAGAGATGTATTCGGGGAAGATTGGAATGCCAGAAGGAGGAAGTAAATTCGAGGTGGACCGAGGAAGGACGAAATGGTGAACCTATGTCAGGAATGCGCGCCAGGTTGAGAAGGCCGCGAGCGTTCTTAGGAGGTAACAGGTTCAGACTCTCTTAACGGTGTAATGCCCCCACTATCTTTGGCATTTCTTCTATCGGCGTCCCTCCTCGGTCAAGGACACCCTGAATCAGGCCACTTGCCTCCCAAAATTTTGCACAACAAGATACGAGATCCTTGCAAGAATTATTTTTATATAAATGATGGAAACTTTTGAATTATTGTACAATTGCCTCAGATCTTGGATTTAGAGTAAATCATTTTCTCTTTATTTTAAAAGTAATTTTTATTTAAAAATAAAATTTCTTGTTTTATTTTTATTAAAATAATTTTTTTTTTTTTAGTTAGAATATTTAGGTATTATTAGTGATGTGCACTTTCATTAGAAAGAAAAGAAAAAGAAATGAATTTTTCTAAATTTTTATAATGTTATATTAGAAATCGAATTTAATTCGTATCATGTTTGAGAATGATAAACTTCTACGTTCATGTGCGTTAAAGTGACGTCATTATTTTCTCAGAAACAATTTCAATTTTATTACTCGTTTCTCACGTTAAAGTTAAAAATAATTATTACCACCTTTAGATGATTTCATGTTTCATGAATAGCAGTTCGTAACTCGGTAAAGTATTTTACAGAGGCGTGACCGGAAGTGCGAGTAAGTTTCCTCGGAACGTTAAACTTTCTCTTAAGCCCACATCCGCGAACGTATTTGCCTCCCCGTTAAATACCTAGTATCTCGGCGACTCCTCCAAGAATTCTCTTTCCTATGCAATTTCATTCACGCAATTTCATTCGTGTGTTTAACATTCTCTTTGCATTTTTATTCAAATCGTCGAATACTTTACGACCCACCTACATTTCAGGTGACAAGAATTGCGAGAAAAGAGACAAAAATCACCAACATTCTCAAACGAACAAAGACTCGTAAAATCTATTCAATACGAGATACTGAAACCACTTGTGAAAAAATATCAATTCGAAGAATATGTGAAAGAATACAAAGCAGAGAGAAGGACATTTTCGATTTTTCAACTTTCAGAAAAATTAAAGCACTTTCGTGCTTTTGCGAATTTTAACGCTGCCTGTTATTGTCATTTTTCGCGTTTAATCATTTTTTCGTGTTAAATAAAGGGAACGTTCGTTACAAATTTGATCGTCTTTAATATTCTCTGATATCAATGTTTTGGGAAGAGAATTGAAGTCAAATCTGGCGATTGCAGGCGATTTGCAGTAATTTTTAAGAGATACGAAGACTCACCGCAAAATGGTACTCCATCTGGTGTCCAAGAGCCGTCAATCTGACACTGTCTGCGCGCAGGTCCAAGGAGTTCGAAGCCTCGTTCGCAAGAATACGTGGCCACGGTGCCCTCCGGGAATACCGTGTCCTTTAAAAGAGAATCCTCCTCATCTATAACGTCCTCGGCGTCTGGTCCTGTGAATCGAACGCTACTGTGAGCGGGAGCCCCGGGGTAACCGCATCCGGCACCGTTGCAGCCTGCAATTCGATACACAGACACAATCGTTATCAAGTGACTGACGATGTTTATCAGGACATAATGTGCTAAACATCTAGGTATAATTAATAATAATGACATTATATGTTAATTACTATGCAATATACATTAATTATCACAACAAGCAGAGGAGAGTTGAAACTTTTTACTGGAACTTTTTACTGGGCTATGAAAATGAGATTTTAAAAGTTCCTTTTTAAAATTGCATTGAGTTTAAATGGGAATCATTAAATTATCGTACATTAATTATCACAATAGGCTGCAGAAAAGAATTGAAACTAGAAAAATAAAGATACAATAGAATACACCAACTTTTATTCATGTTTTATTTTATAAAAAATTAAACCTGTAAAAATACACTTGTTTTGTATCTGTAATATATCTAAAAAAAATTATGAATTAGTCATTTTGACCACTTCTGGTGTTACCTGATTATCAAAATAGGCTGCAGAAAAGAATTGGAACTTTTCACTGAAATTTGGGCTAGACTCAATGAAAATAAGATTTAAAAGGTTTTTTAAAATTGCATTGAGTTTAAATGGATGGAATGAATCATTAAATTATTATATATTACACAATATACATAATAGAACTATCAAGGACTAAAGCATAGAATTTTCATCAGAGATATTAAAGTAAAAAAAATAGAAATACAATAGAATACACAAACTTTCATTCATGTATTTTATAAAAAATTAAACCTGTAAAAATACTCTTGTTTTGTATCTGTAATATATCTAAAAAAAATTATGAATTAATCAATTATGAATATTTAATATATATATAGTGAACTTTTCACTGGAACTTGGGCTAGACTCAATAAAAATAAGATTTAAAAAGTTCTTTTTTAAAATTGCATTGAGTTTAAATGGCAATCATTAAATTACCATACATTACACAATATACATTAATTACCACAATAAGCTACAGGGAAGAGTTGGAACTTTCTAGTGGAACTTGGGCTAGCCTCAATGAAAATAAGATTTAAAAATTGCATTCAACTTAAATGGACCTTAATAGGAAGAGAAAAATGGTTTTTCTATCAATGAAGGTGAGTGATCAAATGATCTTTGATCAACGTTGTACACCAGTCGGTGCTTCACTGCAAAAAAAAGAAAAGTATCAACAAAAAACTAAGACATATTTCTATTGTAAGCACATCAATATTTGTAAGGTTTTTTACCCCCAATTATTGCAAAATTTTTTACCATCGAACCGTCAAAGATGAAAAAAGCTTCTATCTGATGATATCATCGAACAACCATAGATGGACGGAGAAAAGGCAGGAAAGAAAAAACGGAGAAAACCGAATCGCAGCGAGTTGAATGTTTGCATTCGCGTTCAAGGAGGTGGCGAGGCTCTCACCGGCCATTGAAATCATCAGATTGAAAACTCCGACGCTCGGATGAGGCAACGTCCCGCTTTGCAACGACTTTAATGCAGCTCGTGCGTGATGACGTGAGTTGCATGTCCCACCAGCGGAGGCCAGCGGCCACAATTGCCCGTCGGTGGCCAACACGTAAGTGCTTTACACTGATTACCAAGCGAGCAATAAAACGTTGCATTATTCGTGCGTAATTAGTCACGAAAGAACGAAGCTGTCCGTGCTCTCTTTTTACACTGAAATTTAAACCGAAACATTTTTTTAATTTTTTAAATTTTCGATCGAAGAAAATTGTTTCAGCACGGCGAATTCTCAAGTTTAATCAACAATTAGTTTCGGAGACACTTTCGAAGCATGAAACGTAGAAATCCATATATCAACGCGGCGATTTTGTATTTTTTTCCAAGTGCGAATTCTTATATCAAACAATTTGAAAAATTATAAATTTTAGTTCGAATGTTCAAAATTCTAATTCACCAATTGCCAGCTGAATTCTGTGGTTGAAATATTTACTGTGGTTGACGCTTCATCGTAAACTATCATTTGGTATTAAATTTAAGATTAAGATCGAGAGACTAAAGTTGATTCAACTTGAAAATTTGATGTGATTGATGTGTTTCATCGTAAGTTTCTCTATAATTTGTAAGACATATAAGAAATAAAATACAGACATTTGCATAATGCAGATTCTTGATCCTTTACATATTATAACAGCTACGACGACAAATGAATTTGAATAGAATTTGCACGGAATTACAAAGCAATTTGATCCTTCCTCAACGATATATAGACATCACCGCACGTCTTTCAAAGAAGGAAATGAAGAATTCTTCGAGAGATAGGGAAAAACTAATTAACTTTACGGGAAGGCGAATGAAATTGAATCCAGCCAAGGTGTTCCCTCTCAACCAAGTTCTACGTCCCCTGAAATTACCCTCGTAATCGAGTATTTCATACATAATGGATCAATTACAACGATTTTAATGTAACTCGTGTGAACACGTCTGTTTCTCTCATTTCATTTTGTATTGTTCTGTTGCATGATTTTCTTCTATTATTTTTATTAACCCTAACACTAGTACCGTTGGATTCCAACAGTTTGTCGAGCGCGACCCGTTATTTAATCAATTCATCATTTAATCTCGCATCATTATTTCGAATAAGATTTATCACAGATTTGTCACAATTAATTCTCTGCGATTCGAGGATATAAAGATAGAGAAACGTACGTAGTATTTATAACAATTATTATTATATTTGTATGAAAATATTCGTAACTCCAAAATTCAGCGGAAATTACTAAATTGGCTAAAAGATACTTTGATATATCAATTTTAAGAACGAAACGGAAGACGGTTTTCGTAAGATGAATTTCGCAATACGTGAAATGCGCTACATATGTACGTTCCTGTGGTTTCGCTCGCGGAAATCAGTTACTCCGCGCAACAAATTGAAACGACGAATTGAGCGAATCACAGAAGACAGAACTTTTAATTTTAATTTTACTTCTTCCAAATATGGCCATCGTTTGAATTTGTTGATTAAATTGTGGAATATCGAGGCAAACTTTGGGGGGGGGGGGGATATTTTCAGATACATGTGACAAGTAAAGTTAAAAGTTCTAGAAACATCTAGAACAATGATGGCAAACCTATGACCCGCGGGTCAGACACAGACTCACGCAGGTTTTTTAAATGACCCACGCGTAGATTTTTATAAGCTTATCATCATATATATAAAAGAATTTTAATTATTTTTCGATACCTTCTTTTCAAAAACTGTTAAGAAAATTACAAGTGTTCGGTTAGAGCTCAAAAGTGAGAAATAAATGCATAATTGTGTTTTATGGAGGATTTACGACTTGATTATGTATACATATTATTTTAAGTTTTAAATGTTATATGAGTTACTTGTGTCCAAAAAATGTTATATAGCGCTCACGATTAAACAGATGTGATAAACACTAAAAAACACACTAGATCTCATTCTCAGAATGGGTAGCTTTGCTAGTTTTTTATATAATAAAAGAGAGAACAGACAATAAAAAATATTAAGAAATAAAGTATATATATATATATAATGTACAGTGCAGGGGTGACTGGGCATGATGTCACCTCTTTTATATCAATTTTTTGACGTTGACATTTATTTTTTGCTCTTCTTCACTTGCAAAAGTAAAAGTTGCAAAACAAAAAGGAAACGTAAACTTTTCAGAGGATTATAAGAGTGAGAGCCAAAGAAAAGTAGTTTTTAACCATCCTCCCCTCTCCCTTTCCAAGTGACGCCACTGACTTAGTGACCCACGAGCTAGTACTAAAAAAAAATAATGAACAAAATTTGACCCACTTCTCAAAAAGGTTCGCCGTCGCTGATCTAGAATATTGAAGTTTCTACTGATTTCACAAAAATTCGTTCTCGAAAGAGAGATCAGCAGAAAAAGAAGAGCCATGAAGTAGTGTTCGTTTTGAAACCGCAGGACCGAGAGAAGGAAAAGAAAAGGGTTCGAAACAGTGTATCGCAACCGTGAACCGATTGCCAGGGAGCAGATTGTATCGCGGGCATCACGAGCCGTTAAATCAATAATCTTTGGTAACTACCGGCTGCTCGTGGGCGTAGATAAGCAGAAGAAAACGCCACGGACCCGTAACGGAAACGATAATGCAAGCAGCTCACATCCTGCGGCTTTCGCGCAATCACCTAGGAAGTCATCGGCTGTGCCAACGTGTGTACGTGTACACACAACATGGTACGTACGTACACGCGTGCGTGTAAATCGAACGGACAAAGAGGGAACGCCGAGCATGAAAATCGAGAGGCACCCGCGAAATTTCACCTCGTCCGTTTGCGCAACGCCGACAATTTTTCTCCGACAACGTCGCCAACGTTCGTCGATTCTTTCCCTCTTTTTTGTCGTCGTTCTGGCTATCGGATCGGAGAGGATCCAAGTTGCTTTCTAACGCGATTTGCATTCCACGCGCGCGGATCCATTGTCCGCTTTGCACGCGGAAACCGAACGATTACTGACCGATTCTCTCCTTCACTGCTGTTGCTGCCTTTTTCTTCGCGAGCTTCGAAGAATTTACGGCTTCGAACGTTTTTTTTTTTCTTTTTCTTCTTTCTTTCTTTTTTAAGTCGTAGGAATTTTTTCATTTGACTCGGCACGGTGCTTGGAACAAAGGAGAGATTAACATTGCGATGAATTGAAAACAGAATTTTGATAGAATTTAAAAATCAAAGGATCTGTTTCGAGATATGGAAATATCTCTCGCGAAAATCGACAGATATTTTTAATTCAGAATTTTTGACAATTTTGTAGTTTGCGTGGAATTTTGAAATCAAGTGGAAATGTCTAACCACGAGAACATTTATACTAAACTAAACTTGATATAGACGTTTGAACCATTTGTATTACATTCGTAATAACTTGATTTTCCTTTCATGTAGAAATTCTTCTCGCAATAGAAAATTATTCTAAATAGAAATATACCAATGCAGACTGACTTAAAACCGGAGTAACTTTCAACGTAATCTAATATTAGTTCGTTGGATTCTTTTTTTTCGTGAATCAAAGACAAAAGAAAGCCAAAAGAAATGGTA